TTAGTTGCACATATTGGTTTATTGATAAAAATAACTATTAATTGTATTTAGTCTTTTAGGTCTTACTTTAAAATTATTAAAAATATACATGTAAAATTCTTAAATATAAAAAAAAAAATGTGACTATTTGCGACTGTACTTTAAGAATATTCAAAAAATAATATACCAAAAATGGAATTTATAAATTTGTACATCCCTTATGATATATATACTTTTGTGGCCAGCTTATTTTAAAGAAAAAGGCCAAAAAAATGGCTAATTAGTCAACGCTGGCTATCCGATCACGTGAACGGCGCATGCGTTTCCCGCTGCGGTCATCAGCCGTCTCCGTCCGCCGTCCGCCGATCGTCGTCCGTCTTCTGGTGTTTGCTCGCATTTAACGAGGCTTTTTCGCGAGCCTCTCTCTCTTGCCGGCTGCATTCAAATTGGCTTAGGCGACGGGCAGGCGATCGCGGGGCCATAAAGCCCGAAAAGCAAACAAAAAGCCAGCTAAAAAGCGTAACACTTCGATCTGCGATAGTGATAGTGCTGGTCAAGATTACTTGTCCAGGAGGTGGCCCGCCTTAATACCCGGCTAGAAGAAGAGCCGGCGACGCGTGGCGGCGATAACCGACTTAGCGGTAAGTAGGTGAAGGCAGCGGCCATTATATGGACCCATATATATACGTATGTATATACGTATATATATATATATATATGACTAATTGATTGGCGCAGACTGTGGTAATTGGGGAATTTGAATTGACATTACTACTTCTCATATTTCACATTAATTTCGCCAGCTTAATTGGCGATCATCAAGCGGCAATTTATGATCGAGGCCCATCATCAGGCGTTGGTTCTATTTTTAGGCCCCGCGTTGGGCGCCAGTTTCCCGGTTGACCAGCTCATCGAGGTCACCAGTTCGGTTGGATCCGATTCAGCACTAGATCCCGACGGCGTTAAGTACTGGCAATTCAGTAATATTTCTGTTTGCAAGTGATACGTTTACAATCACAAGTTCTCAATATCACGTTTTTGTTTTGTATTGTTATCTTTAGTATCTGGTTTTTTATATATGTATATAATACAATTATTTAACTTTCTACCTAACTGTATAATTACTTACTTATAAGCTTTGATTGATTTGTTCAATAATTAAATAAACACCAGCAGCTTTGTTTACTATTTGGCAACGTGTAACTCTAATTTGTTATTTATATTTACAAGTTATCCAAACAAATTAGCCTATCTTTTGCAGTACCTTAGACTTAGTAGTAATAATATCAGTTGTTCCTTTAAAAACTGGCATTAGGGCTTTTCAATTACTAGCTGATGCAGATTTAGAGATTTAATTCCAGCGAATTCAAACTAAATGTTCCAGAACCATTATCAGTAAATCGATGGGGGTCACCACCGCATTATTATTGGGCGCCATTTTCTAGGGATGACTATCGCTCCATCGAGTGGATTTCACTCTTTTGCTAGTTGGCTGCCTCTGTTTGGGTTTGGCCACTTGTGGGCTGCCATAAAGTTGCATAATCCGTCGCCCAATGGCCGATTGCCGCCGGCCAGCCAAAGATTGGAGGCAAATAGTGCTTCTGATTCCGGCCGGGGACCCTGAACTTTGCCAGTGTTACGTATTTGCAGCCGTTTAGCTGGAAAGTCTGTGTAGGGGATGTTAGTCTGCAGTTTCAAAACGAAACAGTACAAAAACCAAAGAAAGAAAAAACCCGAATAAAAATTATACAATGCGACACTCTTTATGTCCCCAATTGGCGTATAAACTCTATTAAACAATTTATGCTCTAAACTGTCTGAATTGCTTAACTTCTTTATGACACTCGCATTCGCATTCGGCTTCGGGCCCGCACGCTTATTTATTCTATAATAAACTTATCTAATAGTCATGTGCACTATATGCCCGCAAGGGCTGTATTGTTTTTGGTTCTGGTTCTGTTGATGGTGCTGGTGCTGGGGATGTTTTGTGGTGCCAGCTCAGTTCGGTTTGCTTTGGATCGGCTTGTCATGAAACAAAACGGAAGACGGAAAACAGAAAACAGAAAACAGAACTGAACCGAGCTGCGTGATCGGATACTCTTGTGCCCCCCAAATGCCCATGCCCCTCATCCAAATTAAGGCTTAGCTCCCTCGGATTCAGCTGATTCTACTGTTTCTAGTGACTCTTCAAAAACAATGTCAGGCCATCTCAATTGATATGAGTACTGGGAGCTTTTCTTTATACACTTCTGAATCTATAAAATGACAGTGATGTCTAGGTCATATCCTTACCCAGGTTTAACTTAAACTTCAGGAACAATCCAGAAACAGATTTACAAATAAATACTTTTAAAATATGTTTATTATATTCAATTGCATTTTTAAAATTTTAAATTAAACTTGAACTATTTCTAGATTGTTATTTACATGTTAATGAAAATTATTAATTAAAATTGTTTATTTTAATATATGTTTGTTTACTGTCTAGAATTGTTATTCCTTTTATCTGAGGCTTTACTGTATTGGTGTTGCGTGTTAACAAGTGGGTGTGCGTGTTCAGCAGGGGGTGCGTTTGCAAGGGGGCGGTATGTGGGAGGCACTTACTCTGTTGCTAGGAAGCTGCGATTTGGTAGTGCCTAGCACAAAAAACCAAAAAAAAAAAAAAACCATAAACCAAATGCATATGGAAAAGGGGCAACTACTGACTGCTGAACAATTGGCGTTGATTCAATTTGCTATCCATTTGCGGTGCTCGGCACTGCCTTTGCAATTATGCCCATCAAATCTATCCCAATCCAGCGAATCAAGCAATTTACCCCTCATCATTATTATCATCATCCAGTGTTTTATATCAATTTGGATGCCCTTGTATTTTCGCAGGAGGGGTATTTTTTCACATATTCAAAAGTTGACTCTTTTAGGATATAAAAAAATAATTTTAAACGGTATTTTTATTATATATTATATTTATAAACAAAGAGGATTTCCCTTAAAATAAAAAGTTCATAAAGAGAAAGTTCTAAAATTGTATATTTTATATTATTTTGTAAATCAGTATTGATTTCCTCTAATTGTTTTTAATTTATATATAGTGTGAGAACCTTTAAAGGTCCTGAACCTTTACAGTAACCTTAGCGGTGCTCAAGATCGACCTTCGATGGCGTAGCGGCTTTTTCAAACCCGATCAAAAACAAAAAAAAACCAAAACCCCTGGAGCCTCCAGGTGTGTGTGTGTGTGCCATCGCTGACGACACCAGTCCGAGGAACGTGCACTGCTAATCTAAGTATATATACTACATGAAAAAGTGGTATAAAAAGTAAAAAAAAAAAAAACTTAGACTCGTCTGTGGCGTTGACATCAAAACTTCAATACATCAATGGTCGCACTCGAAAACCCGAACACAGACGGTCGGACAGGTTTGCATGATTTATGACTCCGCCACTGTGACAAGCTTCACGGCGAACAGGTGCGGACTCCACTAGGGGGTTAAGGTGCTCAGTGGGTTAACATGCGAATTTCAGGTACTCTAATTTCCATATAATCCAGTTCAAGTAATACTGAAAACTGATTTTGTTTTGAGGCAATTGGCAAATTGAAGAATATAAAATAAAAGGATTTGGACTTTGGTGCACTGAATTGATCTTAAAAAAAATAATAATAAGAGCCTTAATTTAGCTTTAAGAAAGATTAGGTGGCCCTATATTTACACTGTAAAATCGTTAAAATAATGTACCAAGATATCTTAAAACTATTCTTTGGCATAAACATTTTAGTCTTGAATCACGTGATACAAAGAAAACAAGCTGCTTTATATCCAATCTGCTTGGCACCACATTTCTGGTTTGCGATAAGGCCACCTATTATAAGCAATTAAAACCTTATCAATGTGAATCATCAAGGTGACTGATTAGTATGAAGTAAAGTTGCAAATATGCTTTACTTAGCGATATAAAATAATTATATTTGCATTGCATAAATATTAGATGTTGACCGAGAACAAGCAGGCGGATTACAACCAAAACAGCAGTGACAAGAAATTAGATAAGTTGTGTGACTTTAAGCCGATTTAAGGGGAATTCCATTAAGTTCATAGGTGATAAGCCAGACTGATACGACTTGGAGAAAAATCAATAAAAATCATAGTAGGCAAGGCAAACAATACAATTACAATAGAAATATACATTTTGGGTATCCAGAACCCATCGAATCCGCTCCTGAAACCTCATGCTGTGCGTGAGTGGGTTTGAGATTAGTTAAAAACGCATGAATTTGACGAGTCCGACGTCCGAGTGCCTTAATCTTGATTTGTTTGTATTTTGATTACTGAAATTAGCGGCTAGCGCTAATTGATGCATTAGCTCTGATTGCGACTCGTTCCCGGCTACTTGTGCCTGTCGACTGCTCCGATTCTCGATCTGTCCCATAAATAAAGTAACAAAGGGAGCAACTCACGAGTCCAAGGGATTATCCACTATGTCACCAATTATCGAGACTTTTAAATAGCAAAATTTACTGGTTACTGGTCGAACTTTGGCAAACTTTGCCTGAATAACAAGTCAATTAAATGGGCCTGCTCAGATTTGGGGCTTCGGGAGGCGGTTACACTACAAAGCAATATATATTTAAAATATTTAACCTTAAAAAAAGTAGTTTCTTGATTATAGGAAAAAATTCCTTGATTTATGGAAATAAGGACTTGGAGAAATTACATTGAAGTCTTAGGCTAAATGGATGATTTATTCCAATTCCATTCGTTTAATTTGTTTATAACAAACTATTAAGTTCTACGTTCGAATCCTGTCTTAGTGATTTCAAAAAAATATAGCATTTAGTAATAGGAAACGAAATAATTTATTTAAGGCAAAACTATTTAATAAATAGAAAATTATAAAGAGAACTAAAAATACAACTTAAATCTACAAATTTGGTCTGCACTTTTTTCACGAGTGTGAAAGTATGATTTAAGTTGCCTATATAAAGGAGGTTTCTTGCCAGGACATGGCTCAAAGGTGTTTCAACCATGGTCAAGTGGTTTCGGTTCCTCAAGCGCGATCAGCAGCTGTCCGTGTATTTCTTTGCGGTGCCCCGTCTTAGCCTGGATATAATGGGCTATTGGCCCGGAGGCACCGGCGATCGTCTGCCCCGGAGATCCATTGTCCACTTTGTGATCCTGTCGATTGGCGTCATCACCGAATGGCATGCAGGACTGCGATTCCTGGACCAGCAGCAGATAACCCTGGCCCTGGAGACCCTCTGTCCAGCGGGAACTTCGGCGGTCACGCTCCTCAAGATGTTTCTCATGCTGCGCTACCGCCGGGATCTGTCTACCATGTCGGATCGCCTGAGGAGCCTCCTCTTCGACCTCAAGTCGGAGCGATCCGACCAGCATGACATCCGGCTGAGCCACTCGGTGAAGGCGGCTCGCATCAACTTCTGGCCTCTGTCCACCGGGTTCTTCACCTGCACCACCTACAACCTGAAGCCACTGCTGATCGCCTTGGTCCTGTATCTCCAGGATCGCTTCGACGGATTCGTCTGGTTCACCCCCTTCAATATGACGTGAGCAGATTATTAATTAAAACTATCCTTACAGAAATTTTAACTAAAAGTGACAAATAATCCTGTTTTTTTTAATTTCATGTATTCTATGCTAAGAAAATGTTATTTCAATATTATTCAAAAATACTAAAAAGAAATTATATTTTGGTTGTATTAAAAACGTGGTAGTTTTTAATATAATCAAAATATTTGATCACAGGCTAACAAGTTTATACTTGAAATACCTTTAACTTCATTAATAAAAAAAAAGGAGTAGTAAAAATTAGCATCTGACTATTTAATTCAAAATGTTTGAACTAAACAATAAATCAAAATATTAAATACAATTCGTATTTAATTGCATTATTTAATATAAACATTTAATTAGGAAAATATAAAAATTAAAATGGGACCTATTTGAGTTAATTATAGTTTAAATATTACAGAATGCCCACGGTTCTATTGAGATCTCCATTCTTCCCCCTGACCTACGTTTTCATTGCCTATACGGGGTATGTGACCGTATTTATGTTCGGAGGCTGCGATGGTTTTTATTTCGAGTTCTGTGCCCACTTGTCATCCCTGTTTGAATTGCTCCAGGCGGAGCTACGATCCATTTTCAGGCCCTACGAAGGTGAGCTTACAATTAGCCTAAAAATATTTTAATTTGATTATTTTTGAAGATTATTTGGAGCTTTCGCCGGTGCAGCTTTATAGTCTTGAGCAGCGAATGCGGGAAGTCATCATGAGGCAGAATACCATTATCGAGCTGACCAACTTTTTCCGGGAGCGTTATACCGTTATTACATTGGCCCATTTTGTGTCCGCTGCCATGGTGATTGGCTTCAGCATGGTCAATCTTCTGACAGCAGGAGGAAATAGTCTGGGAGCCCTGCTCTATGTGGCCTACACGGTGGCCGCCTTGAGTCAACTTCTGGTCTATTGCTATGGCGGCACTCTGGTGGCCGAAAGTGTGAGTTATGTGGCTCTTGGGTGATTTTTCCTGCAACCTCCTACTTGTAGAGTATGGAGTTGTGCCGAGTGATGAGCACTTGTCCCTGGCAATTGTTTAAGCCTCCACAGCGGCGCCTCGTTCAGCTAATGATCCTGCGATCCCAACGACCCATATCCATGGCAGTGCCTTTCTTTTCCCCTTCACTGGCCACCTTTGCTGCGGTAAGATATATAAATTCAAATAAATCTTTCAAAAATGTTATAATTAAAAGTCTAAAAGTATGCAATACAAAATGGGACTTGTATTTTGTAATGAATTCATGGGACTTTTGTATTTGAAAATATATTGTTGCATACTTTTAGACACCTTTTTACTCATGTGATTTTAAAACTTTATGTGAGTAATGTGGCAAACTGGTTTATGTAGTTTTTGGTTCATAAATTCCTTTTTTATTTAATATTTATAAAATTAAACACAAAATACAACATTTATTCATTGATTTACCATTAAACTTGAACTTTTGTCTCCTGCAGATTCTTCAGACTTCGGGCTCTATAATTGCCCTCTGTAAATCTTTTCAATAAACGAATATATACATAAAATTATAATCACTTAATTTGCTATTTCTTAAATAAATGGTTTATATATTTTAATCCTTTCAAACTCAAATGTATTTATTAGATTCGTGAAATCTCTTTGAAGTACTGTTTATTCACAGAACCACATTTTTTTGGGAGCCTTTTTCTATCGGCAATCTCCAATAATTAGGCGCTGACTCCACCATTCCCATGACCACTTCTAATTCATTTTCCAACCAAAACACGCGACCCAAACAATGGGGTTTCCTTAGTTGACAGCAGAAAGCGGACCCAGAATGACATCGCCAGATGAGCGGAGTTTCTGGGAGCGGCACGAGTTTAAGTTCTACCAGTACGGCCATGTGTACGCCCTGATCTATGGCCAGGTGGTGATCGACTATGTGCCCCAGAGGGCGTTGAGGCGTGGCATTAAGGTCCTTCTCATTCTGTATGGCCACCTGTTCAGTTTGCTGTTGATTGTGGTACTGCCCGCCTACTTTTGCTATCACTTTGGCACCCTAACCGATACTTTGGACCGGCGTTTGCAACTGCTCTTCTATGTGGGTTTCGCCAATACGGCCATTAAGTATGCCACCGTGATTGTGACCTATGTGGCCAATACCGTGCACTTTGAGGCCATCAACCAGAAGTGCACCCTGCAGAGGATGCATCTGGAGCGAGAGTTCAAGAATGCGCCGCAGGAACCGAAGAAACCCTTCGAGTTTCTCATGTACTTCAAGTTCTGCCTTATCAATCTGATGATGATGATCCAGGTGTGCGGCATTTTTGCCCAATACGGCGAGAAGGGTTCGGCTAGCCAGGTGCGAGTCCACTTCGTCGTCTACGCCTTTGTGCTGTGGAACTACACGGAGAACATGGCGGACTATTGCTACTGGATCAACGCCTCGGTGCTGAAGTACTACAGACAGTTCAACCTCCAGTTGGATTCGCTGCGCGAGGAGATTGATGGGTTGAGGCCCGGCCGGGGAATGCTCCTGCATCGCTGCTGTGAGCTTAGCGATCGGCTGGAGGTGCTGCGTCGAAGGTGCCGCGAAATCCACGACCTGCAGAGGGAGAGCTTTCGCATGCATCAGTTCCAGCTGATCGGCCTCATGCTGAGCACCCTCATCAACAACCTGACCAATTTCTACACCCTGTTCCACATGCTGGCCAAGCAGTCGCTGGAGGAGGTCAGTTACCCGGTGGTCGTGGGATCCGTCTACGCCACCGGCTTCTACATAGACACCTACATCGTGACCCTGGTCAACGAGCACATCAAGCTGGAGCTGGAGAACGTGGCCCTAACCATGCGGCGGTTCGCCGAGCCACCGGCCAGGGACGAGCGACTCACCAGGGAGGTAAGCCATCGAAAAAGGTAAAATCTTGTCCAAATCTGAAAAAAAAAAATTGCGAACTATATTTTTCATATGCATTTTTTCCTATTGCCTATCATAAAACTTATAAAAGGAATATCATTGATGAAAAAACAATTTTAAAATAAATATATTGTTAGAAATATTTTGCTTATATCCAGATAGAACACCTTTCGCTGGAGCTACTCAACTATCAGCCACCCATGCTCTGTGGACTTTTGCACCTCGATCGCCGATTGGTCTACCTCATCGCTGTTACCGCATTTTCATACTTCATAACTCTGGTGCAGTTCGATCTCCTTCTGCGCAGGAAGTCCTAGGCCAGGAAATGGTCTCCAAAGAGCTGAAATCCCAAAAAGAACCCTAAATAAACCGAATTTAATACACAAAAATTAAAATAGTCACAAACAAAAATTAGGCATAAACATTACAAAATAGTGAAACTTATACCACAAACAGTATTAAAGTATAAGTTTTAATTCAATACTGAATAACATAGCCCAAAAACTTTTAGTTTCATTTCTATACCGAAGTGTTTAAAATTTTAGTCAAAGGCCTTGTTTTTAAGCCCCATACGTTTTATTTTGGCTCTTTTGTGGTATTAATATAATCCTTATCTTATTAAAAAATTGTTCATACCCAATAGTTTAAAATTCATTTCACAATAGTTTAGTTTCTATGAGCATATTTTCTTTCGATGTAGGTATATCTCATCACCTCTTTAATTAAATTTTAGACGAGAAAATAATAAAAGAATAAAAGACATCTGAACAAGTCGTATTGATTTTTCTCTAATTTAACGTTTATTTTAACAAAAGATATTACCCTAATGGCAGTGGAACGAGGCGTGTCCTTTGAAGATAGCCGTTCAACGGTCTGCTGTTTGGTCAGATAAGCGTTGAATAGTCTAGTGTATTCCGATGCACTCCTTTGGGGCGATATTCAGTTACTGGCCACGATGCGAGTCCGCAGGTTGTGCCAGATGGCCCTGCGCTCCTGGATGGGATTGGTCCTGAGCCTGGGACTGTCCTGCCACTATTATAGCCACACTCGTGGTCGCCTGGTCCACTCGCGACTTCTGCAGATCTACAACTGGATGACAATGGTCGCCAACATTGTACTGTATTTCCCATACTTTACTTACGCTCTGGTCTATTTTGCGGAGGGCACATTTAGGCGGCAGTCATTCGTGATTATGGTAAGCAAAATTGCAAAATTGCAAAATATGCAGTAGCTGGATTTACAATTTCAGTTTAGTTTTAGAGTGAAAAGCGTCTTTATGCTGGTAAAAATAACATAGTAAATCCAAATATTCTTTACTCAGTTTAAAAATATTTGGTTTGATTTTCATCCATTTCATCTATCGATTTTTATATTTAAAAAATTTAATTAATGTTTAGATTCAGTAAAATGCATTTTACTCATATCCACATTAATGCAATCAAATAGGCATTGTATTATATATTATGATTTAAAATATAATTTAGGTACTTAATATTAAATTGTAATTTCCATAGTCAATGTTGAACTCTTTCTGAAGCGTTTTATAAAGAAAGCATTATTTTAAAAATTTAAAAAATATTTTTTTGAACATTTTCGGAATATATTTAAAGGTCTGCCATGGCAACGTAAAACTTCAATTCGTGGCGCTGTCAATCCAAACATTATGGAGACTTCTATGCGAGCGACAGGTGTGCCAGGTGTACAACGAATTGTCAGGGATAACTGAGCTGGAGCTGAAGTGCGAGGAGCACAGTCGCTTCTACCACGTGGTGTTTCTGGCCAAGATGCATAATTTTCTGCACAACTTTAACTTCGGTCTGAGTGTGCTGCTCGTTACGGGCATGCGAACGTTCGGAATGTTGGACGTTCTGTCCATCATATACTTCATCTACAACTGCCTGGCCAGAAACGCCGTCCAGGTCACCTATGTCCTCCTGCTCCTCGAGCTGAGTGAGGCACTGCGTCTGAATGGCCAGCAGCAGCCGGAATCCTATGGCCAACTCAAGGAGCAGTTGCGACGGGAAGAGCGTCTGATGGAGCTTGTGCGCCGAGTGCATCGATTTTTCGCCTGGATGGTGGCGGTCACTTTGTTCTACGAGCTGTACTTCAACACGGCCACCATCTACCTGGGCTATTCCTTCGTCATCCAGCGCAACGATGCCCTGGGCCTGCACTTGCACGCCTTGAAGATCCTGCTAACAGTCCTCTGCTTTGTGGTCAAGCTATCGGACGTCCTGCTCCTCCAGATCGTCTGTGAACACCTGCTCGGGCAGCAAAACCAACTGTGCGCCACTCCAAAAGTCCCAGCGAAGGCAGCTCATAGACAGGTGAATAATAAACAACTAAAACCCATTTTAAGCAACTAAAAAATACACAGTTCTTTTGCCTTAAAAGAATTAAAGAGGAAATATAGGAGTAAGAATTGTTCTTTCAACCCTATAAGAACCCCAGTTAAAGTAGATAGATTTCAAGATAAATTAAAATTGTATTATTTTTTGGAGCATTTAGGTAAACAAATGTTAAATCAGAAATATTAATCTGTATGGGACTTTTACTCAGGAGCACCGAAATATCTATAAACAGTAATAGTAGTTCCGGTCTTATATTCAATCTTTAGAATACAAAAAATAATTTGTCTTTCCTTAAAAAGTTTTTTATATACTTAACAATTCACTTAAGTGGAGAATTTCTTTGCTAATAACTTAAACCTTTTATGAACAATTCCTAAATAGTATTTTAGTTATTATTTAGCTAATAATTCATTTTTTTGTTCAAGTGGGAAATGTCTGTTTTCAGACGAGCCATTAGACGAGCTTCGCCGGAGAACAAAGTGCTGGGTATGTTTAGCATGGATATGCGGTGTGCCTTCGCCCTGATAAGCTGCAGTTTGTCCTATGGCATCATCATCATTCAAATTGGATACGTTCGTGGTTGAAGTTGTCTCCAATTTTCCCGCCCTTCAAAAAGGAAGAAAAAAAAAACCGGCGAAGTAATCATGCACTCAATCGGCACTTCGCTTCAATTACGTTAATTACTTGGATAATCTGTGGCGAAACGAAAACAAGACACGGAGTTTATGAAACCATAGTTGTGATGGCCACAAAACTTAAAGGAAGTAAGCTTACTATTTTTTTAACATAAATAAAATGTTATATTAAATACAAGTAAAACATTGTTTTAATGACGACAGTTGGGTATAAGTTGAACACCATTGTATAGCAAACAAAAAATTGTTTAAAATAGTTTTGTAGGGTTATAACTTATATTATAGTTATAAATTAAATATCAATACAATATTGTAAAAATAAAGTGCTATTTTGGCCATTATTTCAATCTTGAAATTTATTATAAAAGGTTATTAAGAAAATCTATTCTATTTTACACTGTATTGTTTTTTAATTTTTTTGCTTTTATTTTCAAAAGTTATTTTCAATTTGGCAAAAGTTTGATAGGTCCTTTATCTTTGTTCGGCTTAGTTGTCGGTTTTTTTATTAAGAGTTTTGATATGTGAGAAAAGACATCAGGATTTTCCACGGCATGCAGTGAGAAATTGTTACCCGAGTTAACAGACGAAGGATTTAATGTCCAAATCCGTTGATTTGGCTGGATCATTGGTCTTAACACCACTGGGCTCCCTTATATTTCTGGTGAGATTATCCAGTTTTGATTCATATTTCGGCACCACCTTCAGTTGATACTTTGCCGCTTTAAGTCCGTCCAGACGTCTCTGCTCCTCCTTGATGAGATTGGCGGCCACTTCGAGTGTGTTTTTTTTGCTGCGTTCCGATATTTGCAATTGTCTGCGGCTCTGGATCCTCGCCCAGCGAATGCGCATGTGGTAGGCGTGTGAGGGGTGCAGGGCATCACACATGCGATCCACGATGGAGGAATCTATGCCATTTGTCTCCAGCTTGGTCTGCATCCTGGAGATCTTTAAGTTCTTCACCCTGGCTACCTCATCACTGTTGGAATGAGCAAGGCAAATGGCTTTTTTCGCCGCCTTGACCTCTGTTTTCTGTCGTTTCAGTTTGATCTTGGGCTCGGACCTTTCAGGCTTATCAGCTGGTTGCTCCTCCTGTTTTTCAAAGAGCTCCTTGACCCGTTTGTTCAACAGCCTGGCGTCTGATTCGCGCACCATCCTTTCTATGTTCCTGGTCCTCATCAAATCAATCATTCTGCGATCCCTGAGTGGATGTCCCACCGGACTGCGCCTCCGTTCTTTGATCTCAAGGATCTTCAGCGGTATGGTGGAGCTCGGTGTGGGGTGGTCACCTGGGTCCTGGAACCGCAGGCTCCTCGCCAGCTGCTCCCCTCTTTTCTGCGCACTGTGCCTCCGCATGGTGGCCGATATTTCGGAGGGCAGGCGTTGGCTTGGCTTCCTAACCTTCTTATCCTGGCCTCGGACCAAGGGGTGAATCCTTACCATATTAGCTGTCAAAAAAATATAGTTATTTATGATACATTTTATTATTAAATCGACTTTTGATTTGTTTTAAATTCCTGTAAACAAAAGTCTATGACCTTTCAATCTTTAACTTTTCAGGCTTTAACTTTATACCTTTAAAAGCTTGTGATTGGTTCAATTTCCTGAAATGAGTCTTAGAAAAGAAAAAAAGTAACCGAAATATACCCACCATTTGGAGAGGTATTGACCCTAAAGGGAGAGTCCTTGGTCCTTTCCATATAGCGGAGTTTATTCCCAGTGCGAATGGAGCCACCGGTGGAAGTGCCCGAGTTATTACTGATCTGCCGCATCAGGCGTCTCAAAGGTCCCTGATTGCAGACCCGTGGCTTGCCAGCGTCGTCTGGATACAATGTAGAATGCTATTAATAATCCATTTTAAAATCCACCTAATAAATCCTACGCATTAGACGGCGTTGTGTGGAGCCGCATGAATTCAGGATTTTCCTTATCCAATTCAACCTGATGGTGTACGCCATTGCTGAAGTCAGCTGTCTTCGACTCCAATTGAAATGCACAAAGAAAAAAGAGGAACGGAAGAGCAATTTTAAGACCGAATTTCACATGGGTGTTTATTTATTTTAGTCCATTACTTAATTGGGAAACCAAACGAATGACATCGTGTCTAAAGCCTGCCCAGATGAATTTGGCAGAGAATTTTAAGTTGCCTCTAATTTAAAATAGACATAAAGACATTACAAAAATTAGATTTTAAGGCCCTTTTTTGATTCAGTTTTAGCTGCAGCAAAAAAAGTATACTTTTAAATTTTAAAGCATTTAGCTACGCTAAAATCGGTGCCACTATTTAAACACATATTTTTCAAAATAGTAAATAAACAATGATTACAAGAAACAATATTAAGGTTTTTGAAAATTGTTATGGATTTAAGGGAACTCCTGAAACATAAATAATAAAATTCCAAGGCATATGATTACGTATTTTTATTACGGTTTATTTCGAGTGTGTTTTTGGGGTGTGGGCGAGTGTTTCATCCGCTGATGAACAAATTACATTTGACATAATACATAATGAAAACGCACTTGAGGCCGAATGGGGTCTCTAATTATTTTCTCGCACATGAACATGAGTATTGTACATATGTTGGGTGTACTTGTGAGTTTTTGCCCATATATATCAACCCAATTCCTAAACTCATTACTTTCCTTCCATTGGTTTTCACTATCATTTATAGCATATATAGCTAATGCCGATCCATACGCGAACTTCAACAAAATTGAATTTAATTTATTTTCTTTTCTCATCGCTAAGGCTAAAAGTTTTCTTCTTTTTGTTTTGTTTCTTTTTTCATGGGTGTATGACTAGCGAAAAACCCTTGCAATTTGATGAGGGTGGCAGTGGGTCAGGATGTAAAATGTGATGTAAACGGGATGTAAATGTAAATGTGAGCGGAAACCATACAAAAGCTGCCCGTACATGTGTCTATGTGTGTGTATATTTTCGTCGATTTTCGATATTCGCTTCGATTCGATTCGACAACAACAACAACAAAAAGAAAAGGCACAATTTTGATGAAACGCTTTCCCATGCTTTGTATGCGCGCGCGTATGTGTAAGTGGATAGGATATACATATATGTATGGAATTTTTTTGATTTTTTTTTTTTTTTTTTGATAAAGAAAGTCCTCTTTTTTAGCCGCTCCTTGATCTAATTGTAGTATATTTTGTTTATCTAGTTGATAATTGCTTGATAGTTAGTTCTCGAGGGTTTCATGTTTGTTAGTAAAATCTAAGGCTAGTTGGAAAAATGATTTGGATTTAGTTTTGGTTTTTGGGGGCGTCTCTCGAAAGAATCGCTTGGAAAACAGGCATTCCACTTGATTTAAATATTTATGTTTGAGCGAAAAGAATCACTTGCTACGATTAGTCACCCAAAAAGAAGTGGGGCGCACCCTGTTAAGCGGTTATCTATAGTTAACTCCTCTGCTCATCGTTTAATGTTAATGCAATGCTTTTCGTATGCTAGTTGGATGTATCAAATTGATTAAGAAGTTTGTTTTTTATTTTGTTTTATTACACTTAAGGTTCCTCCGCTTTTTTCTGTGTTTTGTTTTGTTTCGTTTAGAGTTGAAATTATTCGCATAGTTTTTTTATTTTGTTTTTAATTGTTTATCCTTTTTGTTTTAGGTTGTTTATTAAATATAACAATGCTCTCGGCGCATACATTGTGAAAATTATAATGAATTTGTTTTTTCTGTATTCGTATAATAGTTATATGTATATATTTTTGAAATAATATCCATAGCTACTGCTGCTGCTGTGGCGTCGTCGACGTTTTTGCAATATACAAAAAAGATAAATAAAAAAAATGTTTTAAGTAGGAGTAGGAGAGGGAGCAAGAGAGATGGACAGAGTAAAAAAAAATAATAATATTTCTATGCATATACGCATGAATAATAATGTTAACACTCAACTTGAATTTTGCTAAATTTTCTTGAACAAATTTCGTGTGTATTTTCCTTTCTGTGCGTTGGCTATAAATCGTAGATTGGTTTATATAAATTAATCAGCAAATGTATAGTTATCTAATTTGAGTTGATCTCATCTCCAGCTCTGCTTCTTCTTCTTCACTTCCGCTTCCTTATTTATTTATTTATTTGCCTTTGCAATTCGATTTGTCTTGTGTGTGTGTTTGTGTTGTGTGTATAAAATTAGACTGCAACGGTAATCCATGTTTGCTTGTATGGGTTCGTTTGTGTGTGTGTGTGTGTGTGTGTATTATCTACATACTATATTTGTTTCATAGATTGTTAAATATACATATTTTACTCATTATATAGATTTAAATCAACGCGACAACAAATTCCATTTCTCCTTTTCACCTCCTTTTTTCTTTCCACTCGGTTGCTGCCGTAGTTTACATTATGCGGGTGTTTCGTGTATATTTATATAGTAAAATGACTTTGTTTCGACGATTTCTTGCGGACTATAGGCTAAATGGTACAGATATATAGTAAGTAGATGTGTGAATGAATGTCTGTGGTTTAATATGCAACTTTTCCGCTAGTTTCTAGTATTTATCATACGCATGTTTACTGATTCTTTCGGTTTTTTATATAGTTCTTCTTGGTTTTACTTTTGTGTTGCTTTTAGGCAAAGGCGAGTGGGAAAAATTACATACATCTAACAACAAATGCACCAACGTTTTTCATTATCTCCATCGTTATTAGCTTCGATATTCATCAATATATTTATCATTATCATTAGATCGTAATCGTAAATCGTTATCGCCATTCTCTGACTATCCGCTAGATCTGCAACCGTAACCGTAACCGCCTTAGCATCTGCGTCCCGTCATCGTCGTCATTATTCGTAGTCAGCTACTAAACATTGTCGTACTTAAAGTTAACCACCATGCAATGCGCTTGTGCATCAACATCACCATAACCCCAGAACATCGGTGTGCTTGGGTGGGTGCCTGTGCCTTGCATGTTTACATATTTATATAGATCAATATATATCAAAAAACACATTATCGTCAACATAACTAACTCGCTATAACTCTTGGCTCTCGTATATAAACTTCAACATAAACAAACAACACTCTAGCGCTTAACGAACTCCTCAAAGCCATCCTCTTTCCGCTCGTCTCTATGCTTTTATAATCGGATCTTAGTCTATATAAGTGGTGTGTTATATATATATATATATATATATATATATATATATATTATAATTCGCTTTTTTTTTTGTTTATATTCAACTTTGTTCTAACTAAAAACTATACACCTTTGTCCGCTTCAGTTTGAACACCCATAACTCTCATCTCATATCCCTACGATGCCAAATGCTTTTCTCTGATGTTCGTCCAACTCCATCTTCTTCTAGCTGCTGGATGTACGTTCATCGATGAGTGCATCCAAAAAAAATTACTTTGGACAATTTGCTACATTAAGTTGGCTGCTGCGGCTGCGTCATTATAGATTTTACTGTCAGTATAGTCAAGTTGTTAGTCTGTGGTTCCGTTTCCGTTTTCTGTCATTGTCGTTGTCAATCTTGTTATAGTTGTGGCTGCTGTTGTTGTTGCTGTTGTTATTGCTGTGGCTGCTGCTGTTGTTGTAGTTGTTGCTGTTGTTGTTGTTGTTGTAGTAGTTGTTACTGTAATGCATCATCAGTGCGGCGTCTTCTGTTGCGGCTGCTGATTTGTTGCTGCTGCTGTTGCTCCTATTGTTGTTCTCGAGACCGGTCGGCATCGAACTCGAGGCGGCAGTGTCCATGTTGTTGTGGCTGTTGGTCATAGAGATTCCTTGGAAGGTACCCAAATGGTTGGTCCCGACTGGGACCAAATCATCGATTTCACTTTGCTGTAGATCTCCTCGATGGTGTCGCCCTGAACCACGCCTGTAAGGGTTAACAAACAAAAAGGTTAAACAATATTCAAATTGTTGTTAAACCTTAATAAAATAAACAAAATTCTACGAAAGCTTTATCTAATATTTTCTTGACGCACCCGTAAAGTATTCTCCGAATTCCTGCTCCATTTTAATCGCCCGCTCATAAGTCTTCTTGGCCTGCTCTTCCGTCATGCGGCGATTCATCTCCCTGTGGTACAAACAAACAAACAATAAATATTAGCAGAAATTTTTAACCTCTCGGCTTTTAAAGAACCTACATTACAGAGTCCACCGACTTGGGTTTGATGAAAACTGCGACGGGATAAAGCTGGGCCACTTGAAGGCGCTTAATGGCATTGCCGGATACGTCCAGGATGCAGTGCTTGCCCTTCTCCGCCACTTCGCGTACACTGGCCACCGAGGTGCCGTACAGATTGTCGTTGTACTGGCCCGCCTCGATAAACAAATGGTTCTGAATATCCCGTTCCATTTGTTCGCGAGAGGACACAAAGTGATAGTCCCTACCGTCCACCTCGTACTCCCGTTTAGGTCGGGTGGTGTCTAAATAAAATAAATATATACAAATCAACTCACACTTCATTTTCTTAAAATATGCGAAGAGGTAGTACCAAAAACTTCGGCCCACCCGAGGGCGCCACAAAATCATAATTTGTTATAACACATTCTTGTTGTGTCGAAATGCATTGTAGTTTTCAGTCCAATTTTATTAACTACTTACGTGGCACACATGAGCCAAACTTGTCGGGATACTCCGATATTAAGTCGTCGTTGATGCGGTCCTTCAGCGGGCCCAGGATAATCACCGGACGCGTGTAGTTTATGGACAAGCGCTGCACGGCCTCATAGGACAACACGTTCTCCTCGGAAGCTGGAAAGTAGGTTAAGCAATCGGATTAGGGCCTTGACGTGCAGGTGCTCTACATCATCGCAAAGTGTTCTAAATGAGTGGGATTCGGAAGGGGAATGGGAGGTGGGAATTTTTCAGAGCAATTATCTTGGGTTCTCGGGGGCTCTACAAAGCAAAGTTCTATCTTGGTCTATGTTGTAACAGGGGCAAAAATATTACAAGAGATCCATATAGATCGAGGCAAGTCACTTAGAGTTAGAGATGTAAATAATTAAGTTAATTTGTAAGCTAGAGGCAATTACATTCTACGGTTTAAGGGAAATAGTGGGAGAATTTATATCTCTATGTAAGGTTCGTTAAGGCTCTCACACACAACAATTTACAATTGTTTCATTTTTTTTTTAATTGAATTTGCAAAATAAAAATTAAAGAAACCGGTACATACTTGCCAAGTTGTCTTTTAATGAGCAAGTATTCATTGAACTCGGAGGAAACTTATAAATCGAGCAAAGGTATCATTCTACGGTAATAATGTTCAATGCTAATTGGGGACCTAAGTAGAAGGAGTCACTTAAAACTTAAAGTTGACAATAAAATGATATGAAACTTAAAATTGAAACCAAAAAGCAAATGTAAATGCAAAATGTGGCATGGTAATTAAAGCTACTACACTTATGTACGACTTGGGTCATATACATAGAGGATATAGATATGATAGATATGTAGACATAGAGCAGGCGATCTACGAGCAAACAGTAAACAGATAGTGGGCACACTTGGTAATGTCTTACATGGATACATATTACATACATGACATCATGATGTTACATACATGGCACACAAAAACTTGGACAACATGAAATCAAAATCTGTGTTTTGAGTGTTATGATTGAGTGTTAATTATGTTTAGATAATTAGAACTAGCTTAGGTTATTGTCTTGGCTTTGGATGAACCCAGTTATTGGATTTTTTTTTTTTTTGCTGTTGTGGTTGAGGGAACACAGTCGAACTTCCTCATTACCAGGGTCAGGAGGGATATGGGATATTACTCACTTGACGCCTTGTAGAACTCACGGATCAACTCTTTTTGGGACTCATTTACAGACACACGTACGTTGAGAGCTACGGGTTGGATTAACAACTGATCGATTAAGGCAAATAAAACTCCCTCGGTTTGTACAATTCCTTTATTTCAGTTTTTGTTTCGGTTTGATTTTGGCTGGGGTTTTATCTTAACCCGCAATTATTTCACAAATATCTCAGAACCCTAAGACGAAAGGTTTTTGGGGGACTTTATCTGACATTTCTCCCTTAAACAGAAACAATTTTTGCGGTGATTCGGGTGGAGGGTACATGCAAAATACACGACACGAGACGAGCAATACATAAATACAACAGCAAACCAACTAAATTGGAATCGGTCCAGTACTCTTTATATGATCTAGATAGACGTGTGTCAACCAGGTGAGTGTGTTTTAGTTAGCTAAGAAAAGGACAGGGACATACAACTAACCGGGCAAAGGGATAAAAGTACTCTAAGCACTCAGCTCATTTGGGAAGCGTTCAGATCTTTTGATCCATGGGTCAACGTCTGTTGCTGCTCGGGTGATACTACGCAGTGTGGCAACCAAAAAAAAAGAGGCAAACAATACAGGTTGTGAGTGTGACAGTTGTGTGTTTCTGGTGGGTTCACAAAATTTTCTATCATCATTCGATTCTACGCAACTATCAACATTTCACAACAGTTCAAAAACTTATAAGCAAACTATAAGGCTCAGGAAAACTAAAAAAATTTATAAAGTTCAAGTTTTGTGTCCAAGGAAGTTTTTTAGATGGTTTTGCAATTGCAGTTTGATCTTGAAGACAGTTGTATGCAGCATATGCACGGTCTTAAATAATATATGTAGTAATAATATTAACGAAATGTCTCTGCTAGTATAAAAATAATCATTCTACTTGCAAAAAGAGAGTTTAAGGCTTTTCATAGTAAATATTCCGATATAGAAAATAAAATCATTGAAAGAAAGAAATGGAATAACCAAAACCTACTAAAAGCATTTTAGAAACTTATCTAAAAAATGTATTTTTTAAAGACAAATCGCGATAGAAATAAATGTATAGCAGAGAAAGAGGCAGAGAGATAGATGAAGTGAGACAGCATGAGTGAGAGACAAAGCAAGAGATAGGCAGAAATAAAAGAAAGAACAAAAAATATAACCAAAAGGAATTGATCTTGCAAAATTTTGTTTCTTTGTATTCATAACTAAATATTTAACTTTCATTCTTTCGGTTTTTTTTTTTTTTAAGTAGAAGAAAACATAAGCTTTGTTATAATTTTCACTAGTATTACAAAAAGAGAAGAGACTTTTGCTGTATTTTTGCTGTTGGTTCTTGTGGTTGTTTTATATATTTTTGTGATTGTTGGTTGTTCAGATGCTCGACTTACGATAGTCAGCATCATTATTCTCCAAGTAGATCAGAGTTATCTGCTCCATATCGGGTAACTCCACCCTGTAGATAATCTCGCCTGAGCAGTGATTAGTTGATAGCGATGATAGCGCAGATTTAGAAGAATTTAGTAGTTGTTGTTGTCGCAGTTCGTGAACGCATGGTTATAACAAATATATATGTATACATATAAAGATATTTATCGGTTGGTTGTTGGTTGGATTTTTTCGGTTTGTTTGGTTGGTTGGTTGGTTGGTTGTTGAGAAGTTAAATATTTATATATAGAGCGATTTATTGATATGTGTAGAATGGGATTGTGTGTATTTAGAACAAGAGAAAGTTTCGTGAGTTAAACAGAGGTTTACAAAGAACAAATAATTAGGGATGTGTGTTTCGGTGTGGTTCCATCATAGATATATATATTATATATATTTGAGAAACAAAGAGAGATGGAGTGAAGTTGCGTTTGCGTTACGCATAATTATAAATCGGTAGTAGATATAGTAGCAGACATAGTAGTAGAATAGTAGTAGATTCGAACGGCAGTAGTTGTTGTTGTCGTTGTTGTTGAAGTAGTTGTTGTTGTTGGTTGGTAGTAGTTGAGTAGTAGGCAAACAACACAAGAATTCAAAGTAGTTCACAGACACAGGGGTTAAATGTAATAGAAGAACAAAAATACCAAAGGATTAACAACAAATCGAAATCGAAATCACCTTTTACTCATGTCTTGTACTGTCTATCTGTGGCTGATTGAAAACTTAAAAATGGCACTTGAAAGGGAGAATGGGGGAGTTTATTTGAGTTGAGTTTCTCCCTGTGTACGTATATGGACTTTTCGTGTGCATTCCGAGCTGAGAAATGTCCAGAAAATCTTTCTTTCGGTTGGCTGTGGTGTAGCTGTATGATCTGTTCTGTATTTACACCAAGTACGCCATTCCAGTTACATCTATATGTACATTATATATCGCATCGAGTGTGGCAACATTGAAATACGACGTGATACAAGCGGATAAAAAGGAACAGTGAGCTGAGATCGAAACGGTATATCATTTTAGTTCTGTCTGCAGTGTCCGTATGTACTCAATGTAATGTAAGCAATCAGGTGGACCAAACATTTAAATTAAAAGGAGAACACAAAAACCTAAAGTACAGAGCCCTTGTCCTTGAAAGATCATAGCTGGATGTTAAGGAGATTCGATGTACAGATTTCCTGTATAGCCTTATGTAAAGGTGGTAGAATCTGTTCATATATTCTATGAAGATCTGATGTACATCCGATTTTACATTTTTTTTCTCATTCCCTTTATACATTTAGTGTACATTTAATGGACATTTACATGCATATGATAGAGTTCTTTCGAAAGGAACATTTGGACGACCCAAATATTACCGCAAACGTTTTGCGGAGCGGTTAGGTACATAGAAAATATAGTGGGCTATATATGTATATTTGGAAAATCTTGACATGTATTTATAGCGGTAGAGAGTGATGTACGAGTAGAGATCGGCAGATACATGTGATGTACAGATGTATAGATGAAAATAAAAAGCACTAAGAACCGAAAAGTCTAACGGAACCAACGAAAAATCAAATTACATTTGATCACGTGTAATGTTTGATGTATGCATGTATGTAAATAGGCATGTTATGTATGTATATATGCAGGTAAGTGGTTAGTCGCATGTGTTTCTGCTGAGACTGTGTTAGTTCTTACAGCAAATGCATTTCTATGTATGTTAATCGAAAGTTAGCACTTGGTTAAATGTTATGTTAAGTCTTTTTTATGTTCAGTGAATATACTCAGATATATAGTTAAATATTCATGTATAAGTTGATATCGTTATGGATTTGTTGGTAAATTTTTCTGATAGAGTACATACCTCCTTCAGCATTGGCATCGTCTTGTGTGTAGCAAAGCATAAAGGCTAGAAAAACGAAACGAAACGAGAAACCGAAAGAGAAGAGAAAAGAGAGAAACAGAAGAGAAGAAATCGAAAGAGAAATGTTTTGGTCAGTTTAAAACAGAATGGCGGTGGAAATCGCTTCATTTGGGTAGACACAACATTAATTATTATTATATTTTGTTAAATATGTGATATTGAATGGTTCTTTTTTCACCAAGCTACCATTAATGTATGTAACGTTACGTTTAATACTCGAAATTTGTGTCCAATTAAAATAGCTTTATGATATTTGGATTATTTATTAAGAAAAAGTGAACTTAAAATGTGGTTTGGTTTTTCAACTGGTAACTGATATATAACTTTGATGTAAGAACCACTCAAGATATGGGCAAATTAAAGAAACCATCTGAAGGTTCCTTCTATTTCTGTATGTAATAATAGTTAGAACAAAATGGCAAGTAGTCAAAGGTTGTTTGAGGTTTTTAATAAACTGTTTAAAGTCTTAGTGATGTAGATATTTAATGAAAGCAGCTGGACACAAAGTTTTTAGTATTGATTTTCGAAAGAGAGAAGAGCGATAAGAAGATAAATGTACTGTCATTAGAGAGTAGCGGGGAGAAAAGCTTTTAAAATGAACGAAATCAAGTTGGTTTCATCTCGATGGGGCTGGTGATGATCATATGATGTACATTGATGTAGAACGTGCAACTCTGCCGCTGAAGAACGCTCTTCTGATACAGATACTTTTTTGTTTAGCTTAATCCAAGACTATATACACGATGATGGCCATGAGCTATATAGAAATCCCCCGCGAGGACTAACGGTTAGTAAGATCGTGTGGCTATAGCTTACTGTCTAAAATGTGTTTGCGTGTGTTCGTTTACAGGTGTATTGTGTGATTGTTAACCAAGACTAGACCATCTGAGAAGCCCTGACACCTTGATACATTTACAAGCGGATAGATCTTGATATATATACCGCCGATTTCGGCTTCGTTCGAAAACATTTCCACCTGATATTGTCGACACTTACGTTGCGGTTCATTCGCTTGGTTATTGTTGACATTATTAATGTCCATTTCGCTGGTGCTGCTCACAACTCCATTGGCTAAACATATAGTTCGGGATCGGGGCACACACAAGATAATACGACATCCAACATCCAAGCACATCGAATGGGACAGGAAATGTGTGAGCATGTGTGATGTATCAGTGTGGTTGATTCGTCGTTTCATCGATGGATTCAATCGGTCCATCCAGGAGTTGGTGAGTGTGGATAATATGAGTGTTTGGACATCACGGGTTTCGGTGGGGAAAAACATATGGAAAAAAACCAGAAATGTAAATCATATAAAATGCATAACAAAACGAAAACAAAAATGTTGAAACGGTGAATAAGAACTTGTCAACCAAAAACATCAAACGAAACATTTATCTAATTTAATTTTAACAATTGAAAAAAAATGAACTCAGGGCAGGACAAATGCAAAAAATGTAAGGTGAAAAACTTTAAGCTGCTGATGACTATTCTTAACAAATGTATGCCGTATTTAAAATATAATTAAATCCTTTAGTGCCCACAATTAACTTAATTTTAAACAAAAATAGTAAAAATTTTCATAAACTTTTTTGAAACACATACAACTAGGGTAATTTAACATAACTTTTGACGGCATGAAAGGCTTAAATAAGAACAATCACCATTGGCTAAATAAAAACTGGACAAGAACGACGAGAGTGAGGTTTTGCGCAAATTTGGTGCTCTTCGCGAAAGATGTCTTAACATTTATATCTTCTTATCGTAATCGAAACAGACACACTCTCAAGTCAATCGAACACCCGCCCAAAAGCACACAAGCACATCCAGTCAGAGATTCAGTAGAGAAAAAGCGACAGAGTGAAAGTCGTTGAGCCTTAAGTACTAAATAACTAAACCAAAAACGCCTTGAGCTTGAGTTGCTTGATGTTCTCCCATTACTGGCCATCTCCGGGAAAAAAGCGAACGATCGAGACTGTGACAGAGACGGACTGCTGGCTTCCCTTGGACTTGGTCTACTTACGCTCTTGGTCGCTGCCATCTTCATTCTTCTCATCGCGACTCTTCATAAACGGAAATTTCCGCGAGAAGGTGAAATTCTTTTTCTTTCGGTCCAATGTCGATTGCTAGAAGAAAAGAAAATAAATTATTATAAATGAATTTTGGCGAAATGTTGTCTAAGATAAAGATAAACAACAAAGTAGTCTAAGATAAAGAAAAAGATTACTTTATTTCAGAAAATCAATCAAGTAATTTAACCCAACATTTGCAGTTATGATATGGCGCAATATAACAGACATATAGAAAATAATAAAGATTGACTTGGATAACTGTAGGCTTTCTGAGCTATACAATTTTGCTAAGCTTTAAAATATTTTGAATATAACAAACAAATTTAAAATTTGCCGATTTAAAGTGGGATTTTAGTTATATTTCTTGAGCTCGTCTCACCTTATCCAGATTATTATTGGCTGCCGCATGTCCCTGGAACTTGACACTGCGGTCCCGAGCTCGCATTTTGCGCTCCCAGCGTCTCTTCGATGGCACAATGCCGATCTGCTCGTCCTCATTGTCGCCCAGGACTCGTCGCGCCTGCCACCATTCGTCGTCGGAGGCGTTGGTCACGTGCAGAATATCGCCGTGCTTGAAGGGCAATCCTCGGGAGGGCAATCCATCGTCCCGATTGGGATCGTAGTCGAACAGGGCCCGCACATACAATGAACGCTTCTGCGTGGTCCGTAGCAGGGTTCCCGATCCACCGGCACCGAGGGCAGCCTGTTGCTTCAACTCCTGGATGCGCGCCTCGAAGCGGTTGTACTCCTCCGGGCGATACTGCGCCAACAGGGTCACCACTCCGCCTGAAGTCTGAAATAATAATAATAATTGGTTAAAACTAAGAAATTTGAATTGTAGCTTTGGATTAAAGATCAATCAATAAAAAAAAATTCTATAAATTTCAAGACAATTCAGTTCTTTCTTTTTTTTGAGTTTAGCAAGAAAATACACTTTTTCGATTCTTGTTTAAATTTATTTTAGTAAATTTTTATAAATTAATATTTAAAAGTTCTGCTAAAATTGTATTCATTCAAAGGTCAGTCAAAAGCAAAACAAAAATGTATTTAGTAAATGTACTTTACAGATAATATATTGATCGTTTAAAACCAGTTTAGTAATATTCCTATTTCCTATATTTTTTTTTTTCGTTTTGGGCATTTATTCCTTATTGGGTACTGACCTTGAGCGCCTGGGCCGCCTCCTCGTGGGTGGCGTGCGTGAGGTTGACATTGTTCACGCTGAGCAGCTGGTCGCCGCGCTTCAGCTCGGAGCCCAGATCTGCCGGACCGCCGGCCAGGATGAAGGACACATAGATGCCCTGCCCATCCTCGCCACCAACGATGTTGAAGCCCAGACCCTGGGGTCCCTTCTGGATGGTGATGGTGCGCGGTTCTCTGCGGAGACAAGGCTCTATGATATAATACTCAATTATAGGGATTAGTGATAGAGGAACTCACCTGGTTATATCCTCGGTGCTGACGGCACGCGGAGTTCCTGGCGGAACGGCGGCCAGGACATTTGTGGAGGCGTATCGCGAGCCGGGCTCTAGTTTGTTATCAGAAATTTGTGATTTTTGTTTAGGTTTATCGGTCGTTTTTTCGTAGCACATTGAATGAGAATAATTATTGAGACATGACAAAGATAGACAGATAGACAAAGAGGGAGATAGAGATAGAGACAAAGACAGAGACAGAGAGAGAGAGATATATATAGAGCGGTTAATAATGCTTTGAGAAATATAATGCTTTCTTGCAGATTCAGCGCGTCCAGAAAGACTCCAGACAGAGACAGACAAAACACAAAAGGGACAGAGACAGCAGGCACCGCCGAGAAAGAGAAACAAACTGGTTAAAGAAAAAGAGACAGCGACAAAAACTGAGGCCAACGGAAACGGAAACGGAAGACAACTGAACGGAAACTGAAGATTGCATTTGATTTCCCCCCACAACACAAACACACACTATACACAGGCATACACGACTCCAGGCACACACCAATAACGCTTATTAACACCTTAATATACAGCACAACAAATCAACAGAGATCGGGGGATCAGATATTATGGTCTGATCCAGAGCACAACTCTAAAGGGCGGGATGTTCAAATCAACAGCATGGCGGTGAGGAGACTACGGGTAAAGGCGGGAGCAGCTTCCAGCGTGTGAAAATGAAAGTGATCTCTTCTCGAGCCTCAAATTACTTGGCACAGCAGCAATAGCAATAAGGAGGACATATATATTGCCACAAAAGGAGGGAGTTAGTGAAAGGAAATATCTACGGAAGGATTAAAGGATACAATTAGGTCTCGCATTAAACCTGACTCAAGTGCCTTTACTCAAGGAGATGCCATAAACGCACTCGAGCAGGTCAAAAACATATACACATAATGGTTAAAATGTAAACAAATCTAAATACAGAAATTAGTTGAAAAAATAAATACAGTTTAAAATAACGAAAGATGGTTACAATTTTAAGTTATTGTACTGTTAAAATATTCAAGAATTTGTATTCAAGAGAGCTTGAATCAGAACAGTATGAAAGTCCAAGATATAAAAATAAGAAATTAAATAGTTGGGTAAACATATTAGGTATTAACAAAAGTAAGAGGTACAACGATAAGAATATGCATGATGGATAATAATAATAAATAAAATAAAAATAAACATAATACAAACAGAGATAAAACAGTGTTTTAAATAAAATAGTATAGACGAAAAGTAAGGAAACAAAGAGCAATGACGGAGCCCAGCACAAGTGCATTTATTCAAGGAGATCGCAGGACCTTCAATAAACACCCTCGACCGGGACAAATTGATGAGCGTATATTAATTAAAACAGAAGATCGGTTAAATAATAAACAAAACAAATCAATCGCTTACGGCGCGGCTGGGGTGATTGGGATCGGTTGTTTGTTTGATTGGATTCGACAGGCAGGGCGGGCATGGAAGCATTGTTATAGAAGGTGGCGGGTGGAGTTGCTGCTGCTGCTGCTGCTGCTGTTTGTGTTGCTGCTGCTGCGGCTGCAACTGCAACAGTTGCCGTCGTGCTGCTGCTTATGTTGTTGTTGATGTTATTGCTGTTGTTGATGTTATTGCTATTGATAATGCTAAGCGACGGCGGCAACTTGCTGCTACTGTTGGTGGCTGTGGCCGTGACTGTGGTGACTGTGGTGTTGCTGATTGTGGTGTTGCTTGCAATGACTGAGGCAGATGCAGATGCAGATGCAGATGCGATTGCTGCTGCTGCTGTTGCTTGTGGTGTTGGTGGTGAATCGACAACCGTCTGTCCCACACTGTTAAGCGCACCTGTCGACTGCGAATTGACCATCGGCGTCTGATGCTGCTGCTGGTGCACCTGACTTTGGCTCTGGCTGGTGGCCAACTGCGATTGCGACTGCGACAACTGCTGTCCGGATGTCAGGCCTCCTCCTCCGCCGCCGGACGCACTGGTGGTCAGGTGCTGCGTCTTGCCAATGATCAGCGTCACCTTGTCGGTGATCGACTTAAGCGTGGCCACCGCCAGTTCGTGCGTTACGTTCTCCAGGTTCTTTTCGCTCTGTCGGGATATAAACAAATATTAAATTAGATGCCATTGAAATCTATAGTCGAAGCTATCCGACTCTGAATTGTCAGGTAATTTTATTTAACTAAAAAAACGTATAAATTCTTTTTTATTCAGAGAATACAATGATTTTTTAACAACATAAATCTCAAAGACTTCAACTTCTTAAGTAAAAAAGTTGCAATACCTTTCTGAAATAGCTTCTTGTAACACTGCCTGTTTTCATAAAGAAAAAAAAGAAATCATAAAAAAATCACACTTGACCTAGCCTATAATAAAACTAATCAATTAGTAAAACCTCTAAGCCTTGTTTTTTTATGGAAACCATATTATATAAAACTTATGGGACAGACCAAGATTTTTATATGTTTTCAACCTAACACAAACCTCAACTAATGCAAAATATGGCTCATAAATTACAAAAATGATATGGCTACACCCACCCCGTTGGTGCGCACTGCAATCAGCTTGTCCCCGATGGAGAGACGTCCGTCCACCTGCGCTGCTCCGCCGTCCATCAGCTTGGTCACATAGATGCCATTGTCGCCGGGGATGTGCTGGTTGCCAATGCCGCCGGCGATGGAGAAGCCCAGTCCCTTGCCGCCCTTGACCAGGTCGATTTCGATGACCTTCGGTCCACCGGCCGCATCCCGGGCATCGCCGGCTGCCGATCCAGCCGCCGGTGTGGTGGCCGTTCCACGTTTCCGCTTCACATGCAGCTTGACCACATTGCCGGCCTTCTTTAGGGCATCCACGGCGGCGGCATGTGGCACATCCACCACGGACACCTCGTTCACGGACACGATGATGTCGTTGATGCTCAGCCGTCCATCGGCGGCAGCTGCTCCGCCGGAAATGAGCTTGGTGATGTAGATGGAGGTGTCGGTGCCGATGTGCGGATTATCCGTACCGCCGGCAATGGAGAAGCCCAATCCGGAGTTGCCGCGCTCCAACTGAATGTCCTCGTATAACCAGCTATCATCGCCATTCACCTGGAGTGGAGTGGAGATCATTAGTTTCTGGTTGATTCGGTGTTCGGGGGTTAGAAAATATTCACACAAACGCCACAACGTTGGAATAATGATGGGTGTGTTAAGTGTTTTAGTGTTTCATTATGTAAATATGTGATGAGATGTGTTTTTATGTGTAAAATGGTTTTAATTAGTATTAGTATGTTTTCTGTGATAATATAACAACATAATAATAACATAATATCAATTTAAAAATATTAAAATATAATAAATGGCTCGAGTTAATCAAATGTTTATAATTTTATTGTATACATTTCATTATAAATATGATCTTAAACGTGTCAGTTTCAGATTTATTACTTGCAATACATAAGTAATTAATTTTTAGCTTAACAGATTTGTTAATAACACAATTATAATGTGGCCATTGACATTATTTTTATTGTACAATAATCGTATTGATTGTTAGAAAATATCCCAGCATACGCCCTTGTTTATAATTTGAATGCTGTCATTTTGAGCAGATGCGAATATAACCTTTCTCAGCGTCTTGCTGTGATTTATGATGTCATAGTATGGATAATTCAGTTAGGCTGCGAAAACATAAAACAACATGAACAAAGACGAACACACGACGATCACACGAAAAAATGCAAATGCAGTTAAAACGAAGACAAACAACGTTGATTTTTAGCCTGTTTTCATTCTCGATTTCCACTAAAAAAACTATATGTGGTATTGCTCAAAAAAAATTGTAAAATATTGAAATTAGTTAGCTGCAATATAAAAACGGAAGACAAATTAACAACTGTTAAAGTTATTAAAAACAAACCCAAAAGATTCTTAAATTTAAGGAATTTTAAAATTAAAATTTAAAAGTTAAAGCTTGTCTTTAAAAAAAGATTTAATTAAGAACTTTTAAAATGGTTGATCTTGTTTAAAATATTTTATTGAAATTATGAATACCACATTAATATTAAATAGAAATCGATAATGGCAACAGGATGGCTTATAATCTTTTCTAGTTTCGGGTCCATCGAATGGCTTACCTTTGCCGACGACGCCTTATGGAGCTGTAGAGGGTGATGAAAGTGAAAGAGGAAAGTTTAGAGAGGATTCGATCCGTACAGAGACTTATAAATATATTTTAACCCTCGAAAGCCCCCAGGCCGCACCCTCGCCGGAGATGGGAAATCGTGTCAATGGCGACTCTTGAAATATCTTGAATTATCTGGGCCGTAGCCAAAACTCTCGTTGCAATTAACGGGCGACCAAAAAAATTGAAAAACAGTCGCACAAAAACCAACAGCAGTGCGCTAAAAATGGCAACAAAAACAACAGCTTGCACAACTCGAAGCGATCTTGGAGGGTTAAGGGGTGGGGTTGGACGGGTTATGGCATCGTTAAACGAGTTCAATTGATTAGCAGCCCAGTGTAAATGAATTCATCAAGCGGCGACGACAGCAACATTAACCCTAAGAAACTGTATGCAATGCAAAAGTGGGCGTTGCTCTCCCTCTTAACCCCCCAGTGCCCCCATAGTGGTGGCTCTAGTCTAGCGAAAAATTGCCAATTAACCCTGGGAGTGGGTCAAGTCAAGTATACGCCTAGGGAACTTAAGAAGGCGGGCTAAAAATATTAAATATGCTCTGTGTGTTAATCGCTGGAGGATACTCGATGGGGCGGCGACAGTGGTAAGTCGCTAAAGGGGAATTCTGCGATTCAAGGATATCTTTTTGTGTTATCTTTCATGCCTTACAATTTTTTAAAGATATTATAAGATTATAAAATTATTTATAAGATGCCTTTGAATAAATGCCACTGTGAATTTCAATTGTAAACAAAAACTTAACCTTTTTTTTAGAGAAGGTCAACTTGCTTGTTTTTCAAATGACTTATAGATATTTTCCCGGAGAAACCTCTAAACTAAGTGTAACGATTTCATAACTCATTGGAAACCAAAGAACACAGGCAAGGCAAAAACTTGAAAAATCAACTCTTCCAATGGCGCTTTATTCTTGTAATTACAAGAACGACGTGCTACGTCCATAAGATCCCATTAGCGACCCAACACTGTACATGGCACTTAGGCTAACAGGTTCGTGCCGCTTTTGCTTCCGCTGACAACTCTGGTTACACTTTTTTCCAACCCAAAAAGAATTATAAAAAGATGAAAAATTACATCATAAAGTTAACAATCGGAACTCACTTAATAGGAGCGGGCGTGTTTCGGTGGTAATGGGGTAAAAGTGGAAGGGGTGTTGGGACAAACACAAGACATTGAGCCAACTAAACCCCAAGCAAAAACATAAAGAAAAAACAAAAACAAAAAATAAACCACAACAACAGCACGCTATATTAACGGGGCCAACGAGCTACAATCGGTTTTTTTCTGCTTCTGCTTTTTTTTTCGGGTGCCTCATTTTTTTTTGTAAAGTTGCACACCCTTGAAATTAGTGGCTGGCACTAAAGCCAAATCATATCATATATAGAAAGCTTATCTTATCTATGATGAACATATGCTTGGGGGCCACAAGCACGCTGGAAATGCGGAAAACCGAACCATAGACGATAAAATTCTTAAGCTTTTGTAAGAAAGTCAGAATTCCAATGCACATTAGAGACTGTCATGAAAAGAATCGAGATGCTATAAAGTAACACTTACAACCCCACAAATCAAACGAGTCATCAATATATACTCTATTTCAAGTACTTTTTTTTTGATTACACGCTTTGCATGCAAAGCGGGAAAATGAAATTTAATACGTAATGCACTAGAGTAAAATTGCAAACAATGGCTGTACTCAGCAGATACAAATTATCTATATTATAAAGCAACTTTTCTAGGTTAAGACTTATGAAAAAAAAATTGATGAATATACGTTATTGCATGGACTGGAAATTTAATTCATATTTACGTTTTGATTGAATCACAAAATGGTTCATTAAAAACATTAAAAAGACTAGTCAACAAAATGAAGAATAGAAAAACGGAAGACCCAGTTATCCAAGATAAACAAAAATGACTCATAGGAAAATTGCGTGAGATATAGTGCAAAAATGTCGCGTTTATTTTGCTAGGCAGTATGCCATAAAAAATTAAAAAGATTACTGAGAATAGTTCCAACATAAACACCACCGAACCTACATATACACCATATTTAAAGCGCAAAAATAAAAAATATGAACAGGGCCAATAAGAAATTTGAATGCGTCAAGCTGCGTTGCACTTCATTGATCAAATCAAATAGAAAAATGTTGGCATTTTGCCCAGGGGTTTACTATATGAGATCGGACGTACGAAACGGGACGTGACGATGATCGTGGTCGAAACACCTGCGAGACTCTAAACCGAAACGGAAACCCAAACCCATTATTCCGACCCAGAGGGGGTGGGAAGTACTAAAATTATGGTTCAATGTGTAAACTTGTCCTTCGAACTTATTTGTTGTTCCCACTGTCGACTGGTGCGTGATTTGTTTATACGTTTTTATAAAAAGTATACTGAGTCCACAAAGTTAATCTCCTTGGGTTTTTCATTGGACATCAGTTGATAAATTATTATTTCTTGGTCATTAGAAAAGAAGACATTAGTAAAAGGTTCTTAGCATTTTAAAATTTATTGCTGATATTCAAGCAATACAAATTTTTAAAGCGTTTTCATCTCTTTTAGAGTAAATACAATTTGTATGCTTTTAAGTGGCATTACTTTTCCACATAGTCAATATCCACTGTAAATTCCTTTGTTTTGTGGGTGGCAGAAGACTCGAAAATAAAACTATTTCTGGCAAAAAACAAGCGAGAGGGAAGATCAAATTGGGGACAACGACAACAAGTGCAGTGGCTACGCCTGCGCTGCATATTAAGGGCACCAACAACAGCACCAACAACAATAGGAGCAGCAGCACAAGAAGCGAAAACAATAACAAATCCAGCAAAAGAAGAACCGTTGACCGAGCATTAGAAAGAGATGGCAAGAGTCTTTCTAATATTTTTTTTTCGCTGCGAACGCAAAGACGCTAAAACGATGACAACGCACCCAATTGTGTAAGTGTGAATGTGTTCACAGTGGCGGGCAAAATGGCAGAAACAAAAAAAAAAAAACCATGAAAAAGTAACATTCTTATTGACTGAACAATAACTAAATTAGAACTAGCATTAGTTAAATTCTTATTGACTAAAATGAGAAATCACCATATACTATTTTTTTAAGGTGAGGTTGCATACAGTTGCAACCATAAACCGGGCAATATTACTGTTTTCAAGGGGTAAACAATGCTCCTAGCATGCGTAAACAAATATTAATACTTAAGTAAGCTGTAAATAAACAGACTTTTTGAGAACTGGTATAAACAAATGATTCTCCTATAAACTTAAATGCACTTCAATGCACTTTAAACAGGAAGTAATAGCAGTAATGTTGCCACTATAATTTTGCCCGCAGCTGTTCGCACACTTGTATATCGCTTTTGAATCGAGGAAAATCGGCTAGCTTTCAGTCTGTCTGCGAATTTGATTTAAAAATAAACCATGGAATCATCGCGCACTATATAGAGCGTAGATGCCAAGCTTTTCCACCAGATATTGTTCGCTATATAAAGCCAATGGATATGGATAATGGATAATGCTCCGATTTTTACCGAATCCAGATTGAAGAGCGACGAAACTTTCTTGATAAATCCGCCGCCGCTGCCGCCGCCGTCGCGCTTCTTTTTCCGTGTTGTCATCGCTGCAGCTTTGTTTAATTATTTATATATCTCAATTTTATATACTTTTATGGCAGTTCAAGGGTTAACGTTTCAGCCAGACAAACACCAACACACGGGCAAAAGCCGGCGCTGCTGCTTCTTACTAATTTACTTTAGCTTTTATTTGCTGCCTGTGGTTATCCAACTTTTGCACTAGATAAACAAAAATGCACACATTTCGAACGGTTAGTGGTTTGCTTTTTATATATTATATTTAAATCGCACGCACGGGCGTGTTGTTTGTATTTTAGCGATCGGGAAACTAAACTAAAAAAAAGAGGCCGCTGCCGCAACAACAAACACAAAAAATAACACAATGCGAGAGAGGGAGAGGGCGATTTTTTTTTTCGGTATACCGACGAAAATTCTCTCTCTCTCTCCTTGTTTTGTTGGCATTTTTCCCCCCTCCGTTCCGATCGATAGGCGGTCTATCGTTATCGCCACACTCCAGTTATATGCATAACCGCCGACGGAAATAACTGTACGCTGACTCACACAAATAAAACAGATTGTGTTTTGTTTCGCAATTCACATTTCCAGATTCACAAATAACAAACAAAAAAGAACGAGGGAAGCGACGGAAAAGCGAACGCGACGAAAACAACACACCCAACTAATCTAATAGCGCTGCAAAAAAAAAACCGATTGCTACGCCTATCGGCAGTGTGACCGTAGACTGATCTTTGTACCATGCCGAAAATTACTAGATTGGGGACCGTGCCCCTTTATATTAAACATTTTTTTTTATAAATTAGTTAAAAAAATATAAAATTTTTCTTGTGTTGTTAGATTTCCCATATATAAACCCAGTTATATGCGATTACTAAAATAACCTGATAGTGAAATGCAACTTAATTTGGTTTCGGTTCAAAATATGGTTAATGGTAACGGTTCGAGTCAGGGCTAACTTGGTTCCTTCTGATTCTAATTGGAATATTACTTTTACAGAAGTTACAGAGATCAATCTCTGCGTTCAAATCCAGTTCCAGATTTTGGGTCGATTTATTTTTTTTTTTTTTGCCCCCTTTCTAAGCTTTTGAATTTTTTTACAGAAATTTGACATGAAAGTGGCATACCTTAAAATGTTTTTATTCAATTCCCTTAAAATCTGCGTTCAAATCTCGGTTTCTAATTATAGGTCTATTTTTTTTTTAATTTTTCGAAAAAAGGCCATGTAACGTCACAAATGTGCTTACAATATTTCCCATATATCATAGATTGAAATATTGAAACGAGGAAAAAGTTTCTAAATACGTTTTTCTGAGTGGCAAAAGCAAAACTTAAAATAAAAATCAATACAAACCATAAATCATCAAAGCAATAAAAACAAACAAACATGTCAAATAAGAAGCGCAAAATGTATATATATTTTTTAAGGTTTCACATGGTGTGTTTCTTAAATTAAAATAGAATTTTATTTGGCAAATAAAAACATTAACATAACCAAATCATGCATGAAACTTAGACTAAAATTATAAAAAATTTGGATCAAATTGGCTTTATTACAATTTTTTCATCGCTCTTAAACACAAATCAAATTTTATTTGAAAAATAGCATAAACATAACGGAATCATGCACTAAAAACTTAGTATAAACATCGTAAGCTTTAATATAAAGAAAATGTGCTTCGCCTGTTGGCACGTTTCTCGCTTTCATTTGTGTTTTCTTTCTGGTCAGGTAAGCTACAACGAGCAACAACAACGCACCGGAAACGGAAATGGGCGACGCTTGGCCCACAAAAACGAGGAGGCCGAGCGCCGTAAGCGTCTTAAGTAAGTAACGATTCGTTAAAAAGGCGGCAAAATGGGGAAAAAAGGCGGATAAATAGAGGGGGCGGTAAGGCATAAAACAGGCGTGCTCCCAATTGCACGGCTTTTCCATTGGCGTTTTAAAATTGTGGGCGGTTAAGTCTTCCGTACTAAATAAATAATTGAGGTAAAAATGCGATTGCGGTTCTGTAACTCAAGTAATCGAACAAAAATCTACAATATAATTGTTGTCTGAATTTTGAAAGAATTTAATCGATTTTTCAAATCGATTCTATAAAATTGTATAATACAGCTTTTAGAAGAAATAAATCAAGAAATTTTCAATTTATTTAAATTAAACAAGGTATTGAATAAATTCCAATGTGTCAATTCAAAAATAAAATGTTTAATTGCTATTAATTTGTAAATAATAAAAAAAATCTATTTAAAAACTGTAACAAAATGTAGATTTTATTTTTCCCACTAAATCAAGCGATTTTTTAACAACTTCTAGGATTGCTTTGCAAAATGAATTAATTAGTTATCGCTATTAGCTTGTTAATTTGTTCATGAAACCGCCAAAACGAAGTGCAAATGGGAGCAGCCTTGAAACTACGAACTAATGAATTCTTCGAGCAGGGGGCTAATTACACAGCCAGCTGTTTCCACTTCCTCAGCATGTTCTTGAGCTGGTTGTTCTGCCCTCGAGGACTTTTTCCCGCCGGAAAATGGGTGGGAAATCTAGGTTGACTCGAAAGCACGCTTTAGCATTTTGGCGTGATTGCCGTTGTTAAGGCGAAGTTGGTAATGGTGTTGGTGTTGATGTTGGCTTTGATGTTGATGTTGATGGAGGCTTACGAGGACTCGCTTGCGTTGGTGTGCGTGTTGGTGTATCTGTGTGTGTGACTGTATCTGTATTTGTGATTTCTGCTACGGGTTTTCAGCTAAAGCCGTTGGCACAAATGATTAAATTGCAGCAACTTACAGTCTGCGACCCGCTCCTGGACTTGGATCCCTGCTGCAACTGTTGCTGCTGCTGTTGCGGCTGCTGCGGATTCTGCTGCAGCTGCTGTGGGGAGCGGGAGCTGCGCTGTTGCTGCTGCTGCTCGATCGATGGCTCCTTCGCATTTTCCGTATCCGACTCGATGCGCATGCGCTGATTCTGCGAAAGAAAATTAAACGAAAGGCGATCAGGATCAAGATCATACAGTACATACAGTTTGTAAGCCATTAAACCCATTGATTAAAATTAATTGATACATCTTGAAAAACATAAAGTTCCCACTGTGACCCATATAAATAAGGGAATTCCTAAGAATTATATTTGATTCCCACAAAATCCAATTTCATTGCGATAGATTATTCATAGAATTTTGGCATTCCCAAAAATAGTACCCATTGTTGATAGTTTCAGCACTTACATTGGCACAACAGCAGGCATACCGCGAACCACCCCCCGACTCATTGACCCTTTCCTTTTCCTTATCCTTTTTCTGGCGATCCCTGGATTGGTGTTGCTCCTGCTGCTGCTGTTGTTGTTGTTGTTGTTGTTGCGATGGCGGAGCGGTCAGTTGGCGTCGACGGCGACGCATTCGCACCGGCGACCGCGCACCAACATAATTGGAAAAGCGACGCCGCGAGTGCCGCACTATCGACACCCAGTCTATCATTTCTCACAGTGCAAGGCGGCCTCTGTCTGCCACGCGATTTTTACGAATTTGTATTGTTTAAATAAATTAAAGCTCTAGTTCTGTTTAAATCGGTGGGCTAGTATGTTTCCTGGTTTGGTTTGTGATTTAGTTTTTCACTTTGCGCGTTTCATTTTCACTTTAAAGTATTTTAAATAATTAAAAAAATATATATTTTTTTTACACCGAAATGGCTCCACGATTCAGGTATTTAAGGACTTTCTTTATAATAGATTTCTTGTTTTTCGAATAACATATTAAATATTATTAAAAATATAATTTTCAACAAGATATCATACAGCTTTTTAATGCCTTGCCATTCAATTCGAATTTTATGACCGAACAAAGAACAATTTAATCAAGACGAGATTGTGATGGCGTATTTTCTCTTTGAAGAGTTGCGATAGCAACAAGTTGGGTGCAAACAGCCGGAAAAACGGAAAAGCTGAAACGAATGGGATTGAAATCGGCACCCTCGCTGTCTTTGTTTGTTTTTCACCGGTTACACACACAAACCAAGATGAAAATCTGTTTGCCATTTGAATTTGTGCTACACACAAAAAAAAGGAACATACACACATTTGCAGTTAATGTTTTTTATACCCCAATATTTTGGTTTGCCGTTTAAGAAATAATACCTAAAATTAATTAACCGGAATAAACCGAATTCGTTTGGTAATCGTTTCGAAAAATACTATATATCTCTAAAAATTTCAATGAAACATTAATCATTCCTTTATTTTCTTTGGAGCTTATTTATTTTTATTTTTTGCATTGAGAGAAAAATTGATTTGTGATCAATTTGCCAGAATAAATATTTACGTTTTCAAATTGGTTACCTAGGATTTGGTTTTAATCGAGCTTGGAATTTATTAAAATTATTTTGTTGGTTCGAGGACGACATTAAAAAAAAATTAACAATACTGTTTCTTGTTCGGATTTTATTATTTAATTATTATTTTCTTAAATGGTTATATTTTTTGGCTCGCTAATTTTGCTTTCGAGATTTTTATTAAGTAGCTTTGTGTTGATTATAAAAATTCGACTTTGAAGTTTGCATTGTTTTCTTGTAGAGAGCTCTCGTTTGGCGTCCGATTTTTATAAAGTGTGTGCCAAGGTCCAAAATTCGAATGCTGAATACTTTTTGTTTACAGCCGGAGTGGGAGAACATGTGTTCTCATCGGCGGATGTTCTAAATTCGAAAAATTTTCGTTGCTGTAGACGAAATTAGCAGCGGAAAATCAAAATCCAAACGTTATTTGGCATGAAAGAATCGAAAAAAAAACCAAACAGTGCGAGCTGCCAAAATAAATAGATTGATATATTGCTCGTCTCGTTTATGTTGCTTTTCTTGTTGCTTTAACGATGTTTTCCAATGCCAGACGGCCATGAATGAAAAACACAACAAAAGGCAGAGAGACAAAAACGAGAGAAATGGGAAAAGGAAAGAACTAAGTAAGTGTTGCAGAAAACCATTTAAAGTTTAGAAATCAGTGAATATTTAAAAAACAATTTTATTTTAAATCACAGGTGCTTTTTTAAATTTTTATTTTAAATGATAAAAACATTTTGGAATAAATTTTTTTAGAAGTTTGGTTTTATTTGTTTTTTAAAAAAAAATTATTTTTTCCATGTGAAAAATTTAAAATTTTTTTTAAATGGTAAATTTATGCATTCATTAATTTTTGGTCATTAAAACACTTTTAATGTCTCTCTTCACATAAATTATAATTAGTTAAATATTCAGCGGAAAATGAGTTTATTGAGTTTTATTAAAATTTAATTAGAGAACTAAATAGTTCCATTCAACACAAACTTATTCCATAGCACATTCTTAGCAATTTCTTACGGAATTTGCCACTATAATCAAACGTGTCAACCATATGCTGTGAGTTATCACGATTTCTAACAATTAATTAAAGTAATGGCTCAATTAACTGCTGTGCAGGTTTAATCACTTTTAATTTGTGCCACCTGGTGTTGGTTTTAATTGGGGGGCGATGACTGTGCGGCACGTGGGGCGTATACGTAATATTTGGAAGTCTGCCTGTTGTTCATCCGCCCCGTAGTTCACCTTTCACCTTGTAATGCCTCAAACTTAGTCTTGTCTTGTTTTATCTTGTTCTTTCTTGTTGGTTGTTCTTTCGTTTCGTTTTTTCTTTGTTTTCTTATTTGATGTGTACATTCTGTCTTACAATTATGTAAAATGTTTGTTTTTTTGGCGCCAAAGGAGATGAGTGATGGACACGCATGTGTCAAAGTCTCAAGAAAAAAAAAAAAGAAAAAAAATGGAAGCCGACCAACCACTGATAACAACACTAAATAAAGAAATAGAGAGGAAGGACACGCTATGGCTCACACAGAGAAAAAAAAAAAACAAAACAATATGACAATGTTTATTTTCAAGTAATATTTTTTTCTTTCATTAAAAATAACATCGTGGGTAAGCGTAATTTTTGTTAATAATTGAAATTTATTTTAATTGCACGATCCACATGTTCTCTAAGCTCAAGTTCTTATTATTTATTATTGATCTAAGGCAAAATATAGTAAAATCGACTTTGTTAAACTCTTACAAAGCATTTTTAAGATTTTGTTTGTCTGTTGGCTAAAAAAAAGGATAATAAAAAATCAACCGAATTGTGGAACCACAAGTGTTTGTGCTTTATTTATTTATTGTTGTGTGCCTGCACGTTTAACGAGGGTTAAACAGCGTCTGGGGGGTTAAAGGGTATTCCCCGCAGCCACGCACACCACAAACACCCTACAAAAACACACATATTGAAAGGCAGACAGCCACGCGCCGCTATGCAAAATTGTTGTGCGACTCGACGCGTCAACGGCACGACTGTTACTACCGCCTTTGCCGTTCCGTGTGCCGCTGCCGTTTTTCCTTTGCCGCCCGCCACCAGCGCCCACCCCGAAATTACCACCCACCTCCCCCCCATGAGAATTACCACCCACCACCCCCAAAGGGGCATACTACACCACACCAGACCAGACCAGACCAGACCCACGGGTCCGGGGGTCCATGTCCGTTCGCCAAAAACCGAGAGCGTTCGTGTTTTACCGCCTCTGCCTCTGTCGCCGCCCCCGCACCGCCTCTGTCGGCGTCGCTGCCTCGGCCCGGCCAAACAAAAAACAACAACAAAAAAACTTGGAAAGAAAATATATAGAGCGCCAAAGAAATAAGTAATGGGAACCTTGGGCAATCGTTCATTGGTTAGCACTGATAACAAACATTTGTCGGCACGCCGGCAGCATCCTTCAAACCTAGAGACACATTCTTGGGTGCGATACAGTGATACCTCGCTTTAAAAACAAATTTAAATGTAATTTCCATTCATTTTTTTTCTTTTTTTGGTAAAATACTTATACAATTTAACATTTTAGGTCAATAACATAAAAATTTTCTTCAAAAACGCATTTTTTTGCTTTACATTTCTCATCTAAACGAATTTTGACTTTTTTCTAAGAAGTTTAAGCTTAAAGAATTTTACAAAGGGCAGAAAGTAATAAGAAAGTATGAAGGACATTTGTCCTAAAGACTTTGTGTTAAGTTTGTTATTAAAAATGATATTTGTGGTAAAAAAAAATTGTTAAATTACTATTTCCTTTTAGTTTTTGAGAAAGAGGATGAGCATTTTTACCTTTGGTTTGCTGAATAAAAATATATCATAGCATACTTTTAAAAATTTTTATATGTGATTTTAAATCTCTTGGGAAGTCTGTGGTACATCATAATTAAAAATTAAATATATTGGCGATAGAGAAATAAAAATTTAATTACAAATAAATATATTAGTAAAGCAATCGCGAAACCAGGGGTTTACCAACAGTCAGAGCCCACTGTACCCGTCAACAGTTTACCGTTCGTATACCGCCTACCGCCTAACGCCTATCGCTTATCGTTTGCCGATTTCTGACTTACCGTTTCGCTATTTCGCCGTTCCGATGAACGTTGTACGGTTCCACGATTTCACGATTTCTGAATTTCACGACTCGACGACTTAACGACCCTCCGATTTTTAGTACGCATGTCCCAGGCGACAAACAACAAAGAGAAACAGCAAAAAAGCGGGCGCGAAAGGACAACAAACAAAGTAAATTGCCAAACGGCAGCGGGTGCAAGCGAGAAGGCAGCTGTCGGAGCGAGCGGGAGGGCAGGAGAAAGCGAAAGGTTGGAAATCTGAGCCTTTGTGTCTGCTCCTGTTTTTTTTTTTTTAATGTATAGGTATAGTACAGCGACATCAATCACCTCGAACCGCAACGGAAAAGAATCGACATTGTGTTACCCTTTAAGCTTCATTCCATCTTAATTATAGAATTGAGTTATTATTTTTTGATTTTTTTTTTGGATAACTTTGAAAGTTATATTTCTGGCAGAGTTTTTGGTTTTAAAAACCAGGCAAAGGCAAACTATCATTAGCTTGCAATGGAAGCTTTATATATTAATAATTTACAAATTTAATAATCTTTTCAAAAAAAAAACAAAACAATTGTTTTCGGAAAAAATTGTTTCAGAATATGTTTAAAATCCATACCTATCATAGTAGAAATTAAAATTGATAACTATAGTATAAAAATAATATAAGTATAATTATCAATGTTCTTAGGTATTAGTTCTAATCTTTACAACAGACACCTTTGCACCTTTGCAACCAATCAATCCATTTAAAGGGAATTGTTGTTTTGTAAATGTATCTGTTAAATATCTGTGTAATGGGTATCCAAATGCCCCGATTGCCGGATTGGCATGGGTGCACCGGTTGTCATAGCCACTTAAGCCGCAACAATTTTTAAGGGACATCTGGCCGTAAGGACATTCAACCGCCTCTCTCACGGATTGAGGACCCACTCCCACCCATTTCCATCCACTCGCCACGTGCTTGGGCCCTGGGACATGTTCAAGAGATTTCAATTAGCTGTGGGCCATCTAATGGTTGTGCTCTCGATTTTATGCATCCACTGCAGGAGGCTGCTTAGGAGGGCTCCACTTTTATGGGGCGGATATTAACCCATTTATTCGCTTAATTAAGATTTGCTGAACAACAAAAATTTAATAACTCATAGATATAGAAGTCTTTTCGGACTTTTCCTATCTACCAGTTAGGTAACAATTTCCTTATTATCAAATAGTCAACTATCAATTAGTAAACTATTGTAAATTAACTTTGTGAAACCTATATGGCAATTGTTTCGAAAGTACTTCTCAAAGGACATTTTAATACAAATTAATATGGAAACTTTTTAAGAAACAAACTGCCAATTAGTAAATCATTATTAGCTTTGAAAAACGAAATTACTTTGTAAAATTTATGTGGCAATAGTTTATGAATTACTTTTTTGTTTGTCGTTTAAAATTTAGTAATTTTAAAATAATGAAGCAAAAGGTTAAATTATTTCAAATTAATTTTTTAAATATGCTTTTCAAATTTTAAATAAATTGTGTATGAAGATGTAATAATAGTTTGGAATAGTAAGCCTAAGGATATTTATTTCAATAAAATGTAAAAAAAAAATTTACCAATGTCACACAAGCAAAAGGTCTTAAATACTTTTTATGAAATCGAGAAAACCTACACCTTGCCGCCCAAATTTAGCTATAAAATAATGTTAAGAATGACTATTATTTACTAATCTCCCATAACCCAAAGTTTGGTAAGACACCTCGTTGAAAAACTTGTTTGAGAGTTAGTGGGGATGTCAAATGGGTATAGAATATATGATAATGGTCTCAATGGGATGTATGCAGTGTGTATCTTACCAATATCTCTTCCAATTCACTCTTAAAAGTTCTGCTGAGGGCCTCGGCCTGCGCTTGGGCACTGACATTATTCGCGATCTGATTCTGATTGAGGACTGATTGGTTGGTTTGATTGGATGAGGCGTCGTTGTTAAACTCATAGGCGCAATTACGATTTAAATTTGAAGTTTTGATAAACTGTGCAAGTTTCGGGTATAGTAAGTAGTAGTTGTAGTAGTAGTAGTAGTAGTAGTAGTAGGCGTGATGTGGAAGAAGAGAAGAACAGAGAACAGTATAGAGTAGAGCAGATCGAGTGAGATGGGAACCACGGCGAAAACACAATTAGAAACAGGAACTAGAAAAACTAGAAGGGTTAAATGCAAATCTCTAGTGAATTGAAAACATTAAAAATTGTATGAATGGAGTGCACAAATAAATTTCAAATTGGTTTTCCAAAGTGAAATTTATAGCAGCATACTTTACGCAGCTTATTACGTTTTCAAATCTTCAGAAATTGCATTTGTTCCTTTAAATATATAAAAGAGGAACAGGCTACCAAAAAAAAAAAGGTTATAACATTAATTAAAGGTTATAACATTAACATAATACAATAAAGTACAAGAAAAACGCCAAGAATTTACGTAACCTCTAGAGGAAGCAGGAGAAAAACAATTTAGATAGTATTTATAATCGAAGGGACCAGCCTAAATAACTAAGTATATAAAAAGGGACAGAGTTAAACGGATACAAATTAGATCTCAAAAAGGATCATGCAAAGAAAAGTAGGAAAGATATATCAAAGTATAAGCAAATCGTAAAAGTTTGAATTGATCGCTAGAGACGGGTATTAAAAGGATTTATAAATACCACTTAAAGAAAGTATAAAAAAAAGTCGGATAGAGATATTAGAGATATTATTTTAAATTCGAGGAGCAACGGCATAATATGGCATAACTTTACAGTGGAATTTAAGTACAAGAAATAAGCAACAGGTTAGGAATCAAAACAGAATCCGAAACTATAGATCAGAGTTAATTAATTAATGAGATATTATCTCATTTTCGTTAAGAAAGAGGTCAAGAACGGTACAGAGTAGAGAGAATAATAAAACATTATAGAAAAAATATCTATTAAAATAAAAGCATAATAGAGTTGATTTCAAAAACGAAACTTTAAAGAAAAGCAGAGTATATAGATGACTGATGAGATCTGAAGCATTACCAGATGAATAAGTTCGTTTGAGGAAATGAGACGTAATGATTTTGAAACGAAAATCTAAAGTTGGTCTAATCAGGAGGAGATATATTTGGCTAAACGGAGATACGTTTTAGTTCACACCTCCCCTAAAACTAACTTTCATCCCAAACTTATAACGTTCTATATATGGAATCGTAGTCTCCGTAGTATCCTACTCACATCGGCTATTTTAACGGCCTGTCCGTCCTTCTCCCATTTGGTTGCAATTTGCAAGGTCTCCGCTGTCTTTTGCTGTATGCTCTTCGAGTCATCCAATAATGTCAATTCATAGAATTCTTGTATATCTGAAATTAGAAAAAATTATCCACAGTTAATATTTTTGCCTTAAAATGTGTATAAGCTAGTTTGTTTCTAAATTAAGTTTAATAAATTACTTAAGCCATAGCTGAAAATGTGTTAATAAAAATTTCAGTAGACTTTTTTATCCTTTGAAAAATTATCTAAATTTTACTTTAGAAATGCCAAATACCATCTGCACTAGTTCATACTTTTGAACAACTTTTAAGGTGATTTCAAATCACTACACAATTTTTTTTTTAAGATTGTAAATTATTTTATAATTGTTGGAGGCCTGAACAGAGCAAGTATTAAAACATCTTGATTAAAAAATAAATTAAATAATACAATTGTAATAATCTTTAAAAGTAAGGTTGCAAAATATTAGGCATTATATAAAAGGGTCTAACAGTTACAAAGTTTGTTCTTTTAAATACATAGTTCCATTGGAAATTGCAAATACCGGCTTATAATTAGAAGTACTTATTTAAGATAAAATCCAACTATCAGTCAAAAAAGATAATACAATTGTAGATCGCATTCAAACATTCAACCGATTTCAGAAATTTTCTTAATTAATTAAACAGAATATTGAAATATCCTGATACAGTATTTTCCGTAAATAAAACTAACTTCAAATTATCATTCTAAATTATTGAAAAGTTAGAATATTTAAAACTATCTTTTCGGAATTAATTTAACGCTGATTTAGTCCATATCTCATAAGCCGATTTCTGTAAATCTCACAACAATGTAGTTGAAAAATATCCTTCAATAATATTCTTTGTCTTCATTCCTTTAACTCCATTGATTAATTCTGAAAGAAATGAAAATATATTAGAAATTTTGTAACTCATAGTCAAAAATAAAATCTCTTACCTCAGTGAAAGCAAATTCTACAAGCATTTATATATGATCACACAGAGCCTTTGTTTATTTGCCCAGCTGCTGCTGTTTAATGTCGTTATATTAATGTATCCGTTCCAAAAGGCTTTTAAATCGGACTTCCTTCGATTGCCGTACTCAGCGAAAAATAAAAAAACCAACTCAAGCTCAGCAAATCTGAATGAATAAGTCCTCCACACCAGTACAGATTTTTGGATTGTGAAAACAAACAGGGAATAAAAGTGGCAGTGGCAGTGCGGTTAATAAAGTTGAACACATTGACTAACGATAACGAGCAACTGGAGTGCAGTCGAACGAATAAACAAACGGTTCGAAGACGCTGCCGGGATTTTGTAGTTAAATACAATGAAGAAACACTGAAAAAAATGTGTCAAAAAGTTCCAATGCCCAGAAAAGAAAACTTTTTTTTGAAAATCATTTTGACCAGCAATAATATTTAATAAGAAATAAATTAATTATTCATTTGTTCTGAAATTTGTTATTTATAGTCCAGCCAAAAAAGGATAAATACTATTTTACTTCTATTCAATAATACATTGATAATTATCAAGAAAATTCTATTCAATTTGAGAAAATTTCCATTAACCTCCAATTTATAATTTAACTGCCAACTTTAAATTCATAAATTATTTCAGTGCGGTATAGGCTTAAGTACTTAAATTATTACAGTGTCATAGAGGCATTGAACGACTTTTGCCAGAGAAGCGGAAATCAGAAACTGTCAGACTGCATCTCAAATGCACACATTTCAATGCAAACTGACGCCGCCACTGACAGCGGAAGGGGGTGGCGGAAAACGGGGGCGGAACGAGTGAGGGGGAGGCGTGGCAATACTCATATACCACACATACAACCATATGCCGCAGCCAATATGTTTCGCTTCAACAGCAGTCAAGTGGCCCAAATGGGAGAAACTGAAATCCGACTGAAGCTCGGAACCAAAAAAACTGGAAAAAATAAAATTGAAACGAAATCCATAGCGCCCATTTAATTTCCTGTGCCCGACAGCCCCAAAAAAAGGAGAAAGAGAGGCGGGCATACAAAAGGGGGAAAGAGAAAACAGGAGCATTGAATTCCATGGGGCATTGCTATCCCACCAATATTGCATGGAAAAGTACGCACAGTCATTGAAAACTGTGTACATAAAGTACAGGGCTCACTGGAAAACTTATCATTTCACTGTGCTAACTAATTTAAAAATTAATTTTCTTCAAATTAACACTGAAATCAAACAAAACAAACATTCCTTAAAACGTTGATGTTATTTGCTTTTATTATAAAATTAAAAACATATGTATCATTCATTTATTTATTCATTAAAACAATTTGAGTTTCTATGACAGCATTAGCCTTAAATATTTTCTGTAAAATATATATTAAATATATATTTATACAATAAAAAAAGTTAACTCAAGCAGACCATTAACAAAGAAGAATTTAAATAAATGCTAAAATGCTAAAAACTTAAAAATACACTAAATTCGGATTTTTTTCCGAGAGACCACTGTATGTGCACATAAACGTCGTAATTTTTGTTGCGTTATGCAATCGATTTGGCCACTTGAACTTAAAATGAGTTATCGAACGCCCCGGAATGCTTCCTGTAAATGGCTTCCTAAGCATTGTTATTTTTCCCTCCATTTATCGTTCCTTCAATTTGTGTTCTGCTTTGTTTCCCTCGGTTTTAATTTTTATTTTTTGTTTTGCCCACATTTTTTAGCTTGGCTCAGCTGAATGCCAATGCCGATGAAAAAAGAGATGCTAAGCTTCAGGTTACGCCATCTCTCGTTTTATCTCGCTGTGGGGAATTCCAGGAAATCGATAAGACCCCTCTTAAAAGTATCCACATTATATCTGCATTTGTATTCAAATAGATACAGTTGCAGTGAAAATAATAGCCCACTTTACATACATGATTGTGAAAAACAATATAAATGAATATTTCAAATATATAAATTATATACATTTTGATATGCATTATAAAATACAATTAATATTACATATGTACATATATTAATGGAAAAATAAATGTTTAAGACTTAATTAAATCTATTTCTGTGAATTGGTACTATTATATTAACCGCGATTGTACTACTCGAATATGTATATGTAAATGTAAGTATGCTGCAGATGATTCGAATTCTAGGCCAATTAAATTGGGATTTTGGCCCGCACATGGCTCTTCATGACCTTTTACACCCCTGTACAACCCCTGGCGAGTCCTTATCTTTATCTTGAGTGCCAATTGTTCTGCCTGTATGCCACTGAAAACTAAAACTATAAAAAAAATCAACTCAGGGACAAAACCGTTGAAGCAGTAAGTTTTTTTTTAGGTTTTAATCCCGGCTCTATAGATGGGTCTTAAATGTATAACTCATCCGCAGAGTTGTCTCTGTTTTATATATGTTAAAAAAAATGATTATTAGCTTACCATTTTCTTTAAAGGCAATAAATTTACATTTTAATAATGTTTTAGAAGAATTTTTTGCCATTAGAAATATCTATTATTTGTAAAATACAATTAAATCAGTCTCAGTGTCATACAAGCATAACAGATTCAATGTAAATATTTCCAACAAATGAGGAAATGAGATGAAAAGAAAGAGAGAGAGACAGACAGAGACTGAAACCTAACCTCAAGTTTAACATTATACCCGAAACACCCACGTGTTTCGTGCGTCGGGATGTGGCTAATACCTTGTTAATTATTTCACACGCACACACACCTCGAAATCTGTGGGGTGAACCATTGTAGCTGTTTAAATTCAAGGCTATTATCTCACCATTATGAAATTTACCATTCGGCGTACTATATTTGAGAAAATAAGATATTAATTTGATTAAAATTACATATTTGTATAGAAATATCAAGAGCAGTTGAACAGAAAAAAAATTTAAACAATTTTTTATCATCAAAAGGAGGTCAGTCAATTAAATATATATTTTAAGCCAAGCTGTTTTTTTTTTTTAATTTCTGCGGTATTGGTTATACCGCGATATACCGCTTCTGCCCTATCTCTATGTATTAAACATCTATAATCATGTCGTATTGAGGTGTGACCATACGGCCATTAGAATCTAGGTCCAGCCCAATGCTTAGCCATATAAAAGCTTCTGTTTCCTAACGTGTCACGTGTTTGGCTTGTTTGCATTTGGGTTTGTGTGTGCTTGTTAGCCGTTTAACATTTCTGACACGCTAAGCGCAGCCACTGAAACAGTAACGGTAACGGTAACAGGAGAAGAGGAAGAGCACCGGAGCAACGGGATAGAAGGTAGAAGAGGAGGAGGAGGAGAAGAATGAGGACTCTAACGAAACGAAACGAAAAGGATTATGCAACTGCCACTGACAGCGGGCAACACATTTTGCACCCAGGGGGCCTATAGAAAGGGACGGGGGCACACAGAGCGAGAGGGCCATAGGGGGCTAGAAAGAGATGGGGGGTGTGGCATTGGGCAGAACTTTTGCAAATTATACAACAGGCGAACCCCGCTAAACAGACAACTGCAGACCAACCGCCCGTCTCAAAATGGATGAACGTATTATGGACGGGGAGCGAGATGGGGAGAATAACGATAGTGATGGAGCTAGAATAAAATTCAAGCAGCGAGTTCAACCAATAGTGCTGCCAAAAATCTAATAAGCGATTCGGAGCTAATCTAAAATAAATTGGTCATACAACAGCCTTAAAAAAACACATGTTCACCGAATACATACTGCTTTTATTAAAAATAAATGGATCGAACTAAAAAAAAAATAATTAAAGGTGCACTACACATTGTATTGATTTAGCCTTTTTAAATATATCCCCAGTTATCGTGTTAAAAAATATTTCTTTAAGAAAAAATAGATCCTGAGATTACAATGTTTGTAATAAAACATATTTTTCTTTGTAAAAATTGTTTTTGAAAAAAAAAATTTTTTTTTGAAAGGATTTTTTATTTTTACAGCCATAACTACAAATCACGAAGTTAATCAATCAGCCTTATTATTGATCTTTTTAAATAGCCAGATTAAGTGAAAAAGGCTAAATTAGCCGCATACCTATTAGACGCCTGCTGTTTTCAGCTGTTTCTATTGCTGCGCTGCTTGGGCTGTTTGACCCAAATCCTTTGCAATATTATCGTTTTGCTGTCGCTGTTGTTGCTATTCCCTTTGTTGCTGTTTGTGTTGCTGCTTGTCAAGTGAAAACAATTTCCAGCAAGAAGAACAGAAACAGAACAGACCAAAAATCGATTGGCGATAGGCGATAGGCAACAGTACAGATAAGAACTACTTTTCAAGGATCTTTCCTGCTCATTAAACACTTTTTAACCATCTTGGCAGAAAGTTTGCAACTTTGTTCGCGTTAAAAGTTTCAGAATCAATAGGTGAAGATGAGCGTGGTTAAATTTTATTTTGTATTGAGCCTTGTTTTAACTTATTTACTAGTATTCTTAATTTGTATTTTTTGATACTCACCTAACAGCGCTTGAAACAAGCGAGATTTAAATATGCGTATAACGCGTTCGATTGCAATACGCAGCGCCCGATCCTGCGGCTCCGAAAGTCTCGCGTGATAGTCCTCGAGCAGCTCAAGAGCCCGATGAGCTTCTGCAAAATAAAGATGATAATTATTATTAATATAAATTGATAATTGTTTGCTTTAGTTCTATAACAAAAAATATGTTCTTTTAATCATCTAAGGTCCTGTAAATTTACATTATTTCGCAGTTTCACTTTTTTGTCTTAAATATAAATAGTGCTTCTATGGTGTTCATTGCCTTTTGTTATTCCTTTTAATGGCATTTGGCCTTTCATATTTGTCCTTTCCTCTTCTTAACTGTTCACATTTCCTGAAATTATGCTGCTACGCTTTACTATAATCTAATGGATTCTTATTAGTTGGTCTTTAAAAAACTATTGTATGGCTATTTATGTTTTTTTTTTTGTTGACCATCAGAAATTAATTATTACAATGCTTGTTGTTAATTGTATTATAGGTGGTTGTAATTAGTTATATTATAGATATTTAAATTGATTCCTATCCGAACTGTTTTCTATATCTTTTTAAAGAGAAAGCCTTTAATTAAGGCGTACTTTGTATATCCGCAATCCGCTTTTCCTCATCCTGGCTGATCTCCAGACCGGCTTGTCCGAAAACCGTTGACCAGAAGCCCCGCTCGAAACCCTTTTCCGAACCCTGCTCCGAGCCACTCTCTCCCGTCGATTCCTGGATGTGGGATCTCTGTTTGGACTTTGGTTTTGGCTTGCTTTTCGCCTTAATCTGCAGTTCCGACTGCGATTTCTCGAGACTTTCCCGCTCGAGGGTCTCAATCATGGTGCGAAAGCGACTCAGTTCCATTCGCAAGCCCTCGGAACTGTGCCGACTTGATGAGGAGACGGAAAGTCCGGATATTCCGGATAGCAGGCGACAACGAGCTGCGCCCCCCAAAGATGAGGACGAAGGACCTTCCCACTCATCTCGCGAGGCATCACTCTCGGACTTCTCGAAATATCCAGACTCGACGTCTGGCGTTCGAACCATTGAAGTGGAGGAGAGCATGTGTCCGTATTCCAAAAGATCCTGAGCGGAATAGAAGCATTCGACGGATTCGCGGACACTATCACGTAGGGAAGAAGGACACTTCAGGGGTTCGGGATCGGGATCGGTTGAGGGTTCCACTTCCGGTTCGTTTTCCATATCCCCAACTTTAATGGCAATTGCCCGGTTGGTATCATCGATTTGTTCAACCACTTCTACGGCTTCTGCCGACGACTGAACCAAAACCACCAATGTTGGCTGGTCGTCTGCTCGAATCTGAGCCTTCTTCTGCGGCAGCAAAGACTCCTCTTCGGGCTCCTCTTCATCGTCCGCCGGAGAAGAATCCTCCTCCTCGTCGTCATTGTCATGGAACGACTTGTCGTCGCTACTCAGCAGCCCCTCGTTGGGATCGCTGCTCTTCTCCCGTTCCGAATCCGTATCAGAGTCCATTTTCTGAACCAGCAATGGAACCTCTCTTCGGGTCCAAGTACCGCGCTAAACTGGCCCGACTTTTGAGCTCTATAATGCCATAGTTCGGGGGCTGCTGACGCCGATAAATCAATAAAGATTGACGCTTTTTAAACATTTTTTTTCTATTTCTTGGCCCTAGTTATTTCATTTTATGTTTCAGCAATTCTTTTTGTCTCCCCGAGTACAACATGGGATTATCAAGAAGAAAAATGACAAACATTTCTAAAATATCTTCTTAAGTAATTTAGAATTTGAATACTATTTTAGTGTTTTCTTACATTATTATTTAAAATTCCCATAATGCTTACAATTCCCAGATGATTGTTAAAAAAATCTATGCTATGGCTAATAAGTTAAAGCTTTATATTTTTTTAAAATAGATTTATCTAAAAGTAAACCATTTAAAAGTTTAAGAGTGTTGAGTGCGGCCAGATCACTTTATGTATTTAAGACTTAGCATGACCATATTTCTTTGAATTTATAACGTTTATTGTACGTAATGATTAATTTAATAAATGAATGAAGAAACAAAATATACTTTTTCGATTCCACAAATTAGCTTAGTATAGTTTTGGTACCCTTTCGGAAAGTCAGAGGTCAAGTCCTATGCTGCCGTTGATTGTCATTCGTCCGACGTTTGCCAAAAAATTAAACACATAATTTATTATTATAATCGAGTCGCATTATGGCCACACACACACACCCTTAAATATATTTAAACCAACAATGTATCTGTGTCCGTAGTTTGATGTCCCCAGCACGCGTCAAACGCCGACAATGACCTTCACTGACAATTTGCGAGGCTGCTGGCATCCCAGACCGTTTTCCCATTTTCCGTCTTTTACAGCTTTTATTTCGCTCATCTTTTTGTTTTTCTTCTTTTTTTTTGGTCATTTCAGTTGACCAAATATGATGTTTATGTGACATAATCAAATAAAATTCTTTGTCTGCATTAATTCAGCTTGTTTTAGAGGTTCTAAAGCAGTTGGATATATTCCTTTGGCCAGAAACGAAAAAGTTTTTCGGTAAAACAACAAACTTTTGGCACCAGCAGAGTTAAATGATCTACTAAAATTGCAATTGAAAAACTAATACCAACTTGTGCATATAGTCTAAAACTTTCCAAACAAATCAGTGAGCTGTAATGTTTCAGTGTGCAACTGAAAAAATTACTTAATAAAAATATTGTTCAAAATAAAAAAAAAATACTCAATTATACTCCCCATTGATATTGATACTTAAAACATTACTTTTTAGCAGTCACAATCCCATAGGCAGTTTATTATATACATAAGATCTAAAAGTCACATATAATTAAGTATTGTTTGGGATTGTTTTAAGTCTCAATAAACTTCAGTGACTTGGGAAGTCATATTACATAATAAATAGATTTTAACAATGTTTGCGAAATGCTGTAAGCTTATTTAGTAGTTACTCTAACCTACTCTCTAAACTGTACACAGTTTTTTCAGAACCGCCATTCATAAGGCAGCCAATTTAATTGACTTTCAGGTAATGCTCAAGAGCCATATATAGTGCACAAAAAAACCAACAAAAAAAATAAATAAAAAATGGGGGAATAAAAGTGCAATTTTTTGCTTACCTTGCTTTTTCACTGGCATTCTGTGAGCGGTGTTTCTGCTACTATTTATGGTGGTGCTGGTGGAAATGGCAGCGGAAATGGCGGTGGTGCAGCAGCTTTGAGTGTGGTTCAACGCCGCCGAACTCGGAAAAGCGTGGGTCGCAATTTTGAGAATTTACTGGAGTCGCTTTCGAGTAGAAATATGCGGGAAAATCGCTTTGGCTTTTCGTCCTTTAGTTCTGCGGGCACATGTATATATATAAATATATATATATCATATATATTGTTCCGTATATGGTAGAATATAGAGTATTTTATGTACAAATTATGTTGTTTTGGCTTTCAAACATAGTTGGAGATTTGTTTAAATTTTGCGCTTAATTGTTTTTGGGGCAGTTTTGTGGTTACATTGACGTGTGCGTTTTCTTTCAATTTCTTTGTGAATTTCACATTTCAGTGGCACCTCCTGTACTTCCGGTTCTATAGCATTTATATTTCACTTAAAATTCGGCTATCATCGAAATGTCGTTCTTTCTTCTTCACAACACAACACCAACACAAAAAAACTCTAATCGTTTTTCTCTCTTTTTTGATTCACTTTATTTTATTCTATATTCCATCCAACATCTAGAAGTCGAAAAACAAAATAGAACGGTTGAAAAACTATGCTTCTTCGGATTTAATTATCAAAACAAATATTGTTGTATAATCATAAAAAAAAAATTACGAAAATGGCAGACACACACAGTTGCAGTTAAATATGCTTCCAATTGCAACAAAAAGTGTACAGTGCTCACTCGTTAAGTGTTATTTTTAAGTGCATTTTATATTTTTCAAGGAAATTTAATGAAGATTTTTTAAACACTTTTTAGTGAGAAATAAATGAGATCCTTTTATATTTATATTTATTGGAAAAAGATCTTTCATAACTAAAACTTGAATAAGAAAAATTTTCTTAAATTAATGTATATTTCCTATAGATTTATATATATTTTGAATGATTTGGAAAATATAACTAACTAACAATTTAATTTCAAAGTCAAATTAAAAGTTTGAATACTTTAAATTCGACTCGATTTTTTAAAAAATTTTGAAATAATATTTTTAAAAAGTTTTCCATCCGAGCTTCCCCTTGCTGTTTTTCGGTATGATCACTGTACTTAATTTTTGTTTTTCAGACACTCATATTTGGGAAATAAGAAAAAATTGAAAAGGCAGAAACAAATCGCGTCGCGGCGATGTCGAAATTCTCGTCTGGTCGTTTGTTTCACGATCGCTATTGTCGAGGTGAATTTATTTACATATTTTCGCCAGTCTGTGTGAGTGCTGGCTGCTTTTTTTGCTATTTCAGCTAAATGTTTTTTTGTGCAGTTGCTCTAGATTCACTTGAAAAAAAAATGGTGAAGCACATACAAAAAAATTCATTGGAGGAGGTAGAGTTGAAATGTCAAAGTTGGGTTCTTTTCGTTTCGTTTTGTTTGTTTTTTTTTTTTTGCTCTGGCTCTGGCTTTGGCTTGATAACTTGTTACATTGGCCAGGTCGAAATTCCGAAATTCCGCACACCCGCACCGCACACAGACATACGTCCAACTGAGGCAATAACGGTGCTCTGCTTTTGGCCCTCGGTCGCCCTCTCTCCCTCTCTTTTTGGCCCCCTTTCTCTCACCGACCGAGAATGAGAATCCCGAGCGTTTCACAGTCGTCGGTCGACGGACCAACAATTAGTGTTTGCATATACACCAGATGCCAGAGACCCAAAGACCAGAGACGAGATATATATCTATCCGCCAGCGTCGGATGCCTTTTTTGCTCCTTTTAAAAGTTGCCAACGCGAGATTATCAGAAATAACTAAAGCACCATTCGCTTTACTTTTGGTCAATATTTAGCCAAACAAATAAAAGTTTCTCTTTTTGTATATTATTATATATTATCAAAAAGGTTTTACTTTCTCCTCGAAATAATCGTTGGCATAGCTGAGAGACGAAAATTTATTTTTGCCTGCTTATTTATTTAAATTGTTTTTTGTGTAATTGTTTTTGTTTTAAAATTATAGTTGTAAGATAATAAGAAATGTCTAAGCCTTAAGGCATTGGTCAAGTATTTACTGAACAAAATAAATTCCTACCAGCTATATTTTATATAAAAAAAATAAATAAGAAGATTTATTAAAATAACAATTTTATATTAAGATTTCCCGTTGGTTAATGCCTTTTGCGGCTTTAAAAAGATGCCAAATATATGTTTATGCAAAAAGTCTATTCAATATGACCTATATACTTTCCCACAATTTTATAACAAAACACTACTGCAATATAAGCAAAATTATTAAACTATAGAACTTTTGTTTATACAGATAATAAATAAACAATCCGCACAATACAGAATCAGTTAGGGTAGTCCCGAAATTGATAATTAACAGAAAACCAAATCAAAATAAATTATTCGTTAAATGTTTTATATTTTGTAAACAACTTTTATTATAAATAAGATTTTAGTGTTATTTGAAAAAACAAGAAAAGAACTAGTTTTCAGATAAGTTTAAGACGTCCATTTTGCTGATCTACTTTTAATATAATCAGTAGGTATGCAAGTAAACACAAAATATTCCTGAAAATGGCTTTTTACAACAAGAAACGCGTTTTGGCTGGTATGAATTATTTAATAAATTTCCACAAATAGCAGGAGAATGTCTAAACCGACAATCCCAACTGCCAGGAAGCCATTATTTAGACTAAAAAGACGGGATCCTTGGGTCTCTATTAAAATGAAGCCCTGATGGGCTTCACTTTGTGTACGTCAGTGACGCGAATTACTTGAAAAACAATTGAAGAACTAGACGGGTCAATACACAACGTCAAGAAAGGCCAGACGAAAGGGGAGATGGCGATGAAGAAAGTGGAGAAAGAGGGAGGCCAAAACAGAGCTAACGACTGGAAACTAGGAAACGCGCATCGAGAAAGACAGCAACAATAATAACACTAATAATAATAACAACACGGGTAACGATGACTGGGTTCAATCACCTTTGGGAATTACGTACCGGTTATTACGGTTATTATTATTATTATCCTACCCGGACAGTTTTCAACCGTTGTACATATATTAAAGCCTACACACGAACAAAAAGTATATACTTCAAGTGGTTATGCCATTTAAAACATTTTATTTGTGTGAGTTTAGGATCAATTCTGTTTTAGTTTTTCTATTTCAAAAATAATATTTTGCATAGTTCAATGTATCTTGTTGAATAGTATCAAAGAAGCCTAATCTAAAGGTTATTTTTAAATGGACGTCCCTGTATTTTCTGTGTACCTACGCTTTGTTTGATTTTGTGTGTGAGTTAGAATTCTATAGATTTAATTTATGTGCGTCATTTGTTTCCTATTTTTAATGTCTTTCGGCCGCTTAGAGCACTTTTTTTCACCCGCACACACGTCGTATAATTGATATGCACACTCCTACACACGCACAACTGTGTACAATTGTATTGCCTATTTTTATGGTCCTCAAGTCCTTGTTGGTGGACATGTGTGTGAGAATGTTAGATACAGTGATCGTTGGCAAATGCGGTGAGCGGAAAATGTATTTAAATTATCAAACATAATATTTTATTAAAAACAGTTATAAAAATGGTTATATTTATTAATAAGAATTAAATAACTCATAAAATAAGTCATTAGTTTTTGAAAAATCCCTTGAAATAATTAATCCGTCCTATAAAATTATATTACATTTTAGTTAACTAATTTTTTTTTTAAGTAACTACTATATTTTAAGCATGTTTTTCATGCATTTTAAATAAAAAATAATATATGGATCTTGCAGAAATTAAATTAAACAAGATTTCAATTCGAATCTTTAATGCTGTAAGTCTTTCCCTTTTAGCCAGCGATCACTGTACCCCACATAAGGACTCCAACACACACACGTTCATACGCTTTCACCTGCTGCAGGCGCGAGCCCAGAAAAGTATGCAGCAAAAAGGAGAGCATATGCAATAAACACTCAATTCCACGCACACAAACGCACGAAAAGCATACACTTGCAGAGAGATATTAACCGCTAAGGATTGACGTTCGCCTGGCGGATTTTTGACCTTGACATGTCGCCCGTGGTGGTAATTGTAGCTGTTTTCGGTGGATCGGAGTGCGAGTATGTTAAAAAGCAAGGGGCAAATCGGATGAAAATCGGAGGGAAAATCGGGCGGAAAACTGGGTCGCAGATAGGAGGTGATTAATTATTCAGCCGCAGCATAATTATTCGAGCGTTGTGGTGTGTGTGTTATTTATAGACTAGCCGAAAAAAAACAACACAGTAAAAACACAGAAAGAAAACCGTTATGATTGTGTGTAAAAAAGAAGAAGAAATAGAGAGAAATAGAGTCGAGAGAGCATTGTAAACTTATTAATACTAATAAGAAAATTTGCACACACAGACAAACCGTCACTGAAAATTTTTCTCATTTTGAACAAAAAAATTAAAAAAGGGATGCTGTGAATTATGTATGCTCCACTCACACACATACACCTATTGCAACTGCAATGCAACACACGGGGAAAAAAATCAGCTGGCTGTTTACCGTTACACACACACGTGCCTCTTCGGCAATTATTTGATTTTTCCTGTACATCCTTTATATTACTTTATTAACAACATCCCTTGCACACACACGTACAGATAACCACACACACACAGGGACAGGAAAAAAAAGGAGCACCTTAAAAAAAAAACCGTTTTAATGTCTCTTTTTAACTCCTGCAGGCAAATCAAGGTACATTTTCTTTACGTTTCTCCACTTTATCCTTTTTCTCGCTTTTCATTTTCCTTTGTACACCGACACTGACTGTATTTTGTGCTCCTCACGCACACACACTCACTGGCAAAAAGGACATGCGTTTGGCACAGCCTTCGGGGATTTAGTGTTTAATATAAATATGTAGCGGCAGCACGGCTCCTTTCCACATATATTATATTATATAGAAACATTACATTCTAGACGTGAAACTATGTTATGTTGCAGTGTGACCGACGAGTTTTTCTGCTCACTGCACCGCGTGCTAGAGATGGCCTACTCATAAGAGGCTAACGCGTTCAAAAGTATCGTTTTTTGTATCAAAGCTTTTTTCACGATAAATTCAAAATTATAATGGCATACTTAATTAATCAAAATTTTTATTTTTAGTTTATTTGGTCTGAGTTTACTTTGTATTTCTATATTTTTATTTAAAAAAAAAAATAAAAAATTGTATCATTATTTATGTACTTCAGTCAAATATTGAATTGGGTTGCAGTTGGATTGCATTCCAACTGGACGGTGAGAGGACAAACTCCAATTGTAACTTTAATTTAACTAAATAATAAATAATTAGCAATTTTTAAAATACATAAGAAGTTACAAAATATATATATAAATACATAATTTAATCAATGCATAGGCGGATTTGAAGTACTTTTTTCATTTCCGTTAAGTGTTCTATCTAGGTGAAGGGAAAAGTAAAAAAAATACTATATAACTGATAATTTTTTTATACGATAACGGGAAAACCTATTCGAAACTTCATAGTAATACAGCTTTTACATTAGGAAAATTGTTGGTTGCAGTATTTCATTA